TCTCCCCCCCTCTCAAATAACCCAACTACACTCCCGTAGCCATGGGCCCATCCCAAAACATACTCCTATCCAATTCCTCCGCGAATCCTTTGGCCAGCGGCGGAGCACTGACATCTGGCTTTCTGCCCGCGCAGAGAGCGTCGGTGGCATGGATGGGATGTTGGGCCTGGGTCAGTGGTCTGGCGGAGTTGTTTCGAGGGCTGTTTGTACCGGGAGCAGGGTTGGTGAGGGTGCGAATTGGCATTCCCCTTTCCCGTCCCCTTGTCGCAGCAGCGCTGGTGAATCCTCCTCCTCCTCCTCCACCACCACCACCACCCATCCCACCCCGCTCCTCCTCCCTCCTCGCAGCCCTATTATACCGATGCAACTGCCCCTCATGTAAATCCCCCTTCGCTTCCTCCCGCTCATCCCGCTCCTCTGTCGTATGCTGGAATACGTTCCACGCAAACACCTTGCTTTCTAGTCCCCGTGGTGCTTTTCCCGTCGGCAGCATGTATGGTTGAGTGTGCTGGGGGCCGCGGAGGAGGGCGTGGTCGCGTGAGGTGGGATTCGCGGTGGCTTGGTCGAAGCGCTCGCGGCCGAGGTCGAGGAGTTCGGTTGTGGGGGAGAAGATGGGGGAGAGGGGATTGGTTGGGGGTGGCATTTTGGGGGTTTGGGGGGTGTTGGATGGGTATGTGTGTGTGTGTGTGTGTGTGGTGTTGTGGTGATGATTGTTTGGCGCAGGAATATTGAAGTCTCGCTCTACAACATAACATGCGCCGTCAGTATAATACTCTTTCCGCCTCGATCGCGTGAAAACAACATACGTACCTATCAGCCCGCGCACCAGCTGTCCCAAGATGTCGAGATACACGAGATTGTCGCCGCGGTGCCGTGGCAGCTTGACTCCAGCAGTCAGTGAGCTCCTCTTATCCACCCAGACAGTCGATCAAACACCGACAAACAAAACGTGGCTGCAGCTTGTGTTGTGATGTCGATTATAACGGTCCCAAGGTAAAAGTCACTGGAGAGAATCCTCGCGCCTTCCTATTTCACCTGTCCACAGTGTTAGGGCTAATATAGCGTGAGAGGACAAACGCAACGCAATGACGTACGTGCGTATTGTAGAGTTGGGTATGGTAGGAATTTGGGGGTTTGGATTGCAAGTGTGATTATGGGAGAGTGGAGGGAGTTTTGCATATGGTGGTTGTGGAGGTCGAGGTGAAGGGGGATTATAGCGGGGTCGAGGGTGAGGATTGAGGTTGTGGGTTGGAGGAGTTTGAGGTGAGGGGGTGAGTGAGTGAGGGAGTAATGGTGTTTTTTTGGAAGAATTGCTGGTTGTTGAGATGTGTGGCTAGATCTTGGGTGGAGTTATGGCTCACATGTATCAAATGGCTTTTGAGGTTCTCATACCAGGACGGTCTGTGGTGAGAGAGAGGAGGAGGGGACTCGCATGTAAGAGATTGGTATAGTGTTTAGACCCTTGTATCATGCAGAATAATGTGCTGTATTTTGTTTGGTCTTCGGTTATTGTTGAGATGGTGCTGGTTTCAACGGTGTCAATGATGATTACAGAGGAGTATTTTGTGATTATGTGTGTGAAACATAAAATGAAGCGTCACCAGGACATAGATTAGTTGTCACCTTTTGAGATGTGTCGTAACACACCAAAAGTCATCATCGCGAATGAATACATTGCCATCGTCAATAAGTAAACGACTCGTCGAAAAAATCAACATCCAAATGGCATACCCCATGCCTTACAGCAGCTCTCACATCCTCACTATACCCAGGAGGCCCACACACCGACACCGCCATACTACCACCCCATGCCTGCATTTCCTCCTCAAAAACTTCCAGTACATTGCACCTCCGATTATACAAATCAAAGCACACAGGTAACACCACCCTTACCATCTCCCCAAGCGCCAACCTCAAGCCAAGGGCGAACCCACTCAACCGCATCGATACTGGCAACACACCATATGACCGAGATCCTGCACGCGCATACTGGCGTCGCTGTAGCCCGCTAGTAGATGTCGTACAAAGGGTAGATGATGCGTGATACCGATTCCCCCCGCGAACAGTACAATGGTGTCGTATGCATCGAGCGAGTGGAATCCATCATAAGGGCCCTCCACTGCAGCCCACAAGCACACGCCCCCGGCTTTCATGGAAGCTGCCAACTCGTACAGCGAGCGCGTCATACCGCTTCTAGCCCGGATGACACAGGATATGGTACTTGACCCCCGCTCCATCTTGAAATCCTCTTGCCGAAATCTCAGAGGGGGCTTTTTCTGCCCCAGTCGTGCATACCCGGACGACTCGGTCCATGCAACGAAAACGGGTGGGAGGACCACAAAGCAAGCCGCGGCAGATAGATGTGAACGTACGATCCAGGCTTTGTGCGCTACGTCCGAGGGAGTGCAAAGGTGACACGCGTCGTTTCGCCCGGTAGTGCCTCGATTGTCACCTGCGTCCAGGTTTGCCCCCTCCAGCGAAAGTTGGCAGGCAGTATGCGCACGAAGTATTCCACGGCCAGGAGCCCGATGGCCAAGGAGATCCAGGACAGTTGCGGGAGTGCGTGCTGGCTGCTGTGCACGTATAGACCTGCTATGGCGATGACGGCGCCTAGACGATGCAGCGAGAGGAAGGTTTCGTATAGGGCGTGGCAGAGGGGGTTGATGAAGAGGACGGTAATGAGCGTGAATGCGATCAAGTGGGTTAGTTCGCATTGGTATGAAAGCGAGTGTTCAAACACCCATTCGATACTCTGCCAGCCTGCTTGCTCATTGTAAACGACATGGTACGTGTTGATAACGAAAACGAAAACGTGGACCAGTGATTGCAGGAGAAAGAGGCGTGCTGTCCATCGATGAAAGAAGTTGAAAGTGTCGTAGCTGGTGTGAAGGAGCCAGATGAGTGGATTGTTCCAGAGTGCAAACAACATCGTGAGAATCAGGTTGAAGGTCACAAAAGTACTGTATCGGCCGCGAAATGCGGCAAGTCTCTGCGCGTGGGGTTGGTTGGGAATGGCTAGACAGCATGCAATGTTGCTGACGGGGTAAATGCAAGCAATTGCTGCCCGAAGTCGTTTTGAGTGTGTAATGGGCCAGTCTGTAGCATGTGTGGTATTGCGGTATCGTCTCAGTGAGATGCTGGCATCAAGGATATGTCTGAGGAAGCTCCACGGTTTGATCCGAGATTGATCACAAGAGTCAAATTTCCGCGGGCAAGCAGCCATCTTTCGTCGGTGTCGCTTTGCCCTAACCTTTGCGCAGTATCGGAGGGCAGTCACGAAGGTAATCGCCACCAAAATAAAAATGAGCTGGATATGCACGAGTCAGAAGTTTGCCTCCTGATCCACCCAGTAAGTCCATGGCTGATTTTAAAGGATCCCGGTTTTGAGCAGAAGCATTTGCGCGATCATCGTCAATATCAGGCGTGTAGATGGAGAGTGGTGATGTGAGTCTCAGAATTATACATTGCTCGATCGAGAGGTAGAACATAGGAATACCATGTACAATGTTTTCTCGTCGACTTCCATATGCGAAGCAAGATAAGGCGGTCCTGAGCATATAAAGACGCTGTAGGATCTTAGAACAGGTTTTGTTGCTTTCGCGGCGTCAAGCCACTTTGTATTACGCCGCCTAAGAGACGATAGTGTGAAAGTCGATGTATCAGTGGTTGGAGAAGAAAGAAACCTCGGTACGAGCAGTTCAAGGGCCGATCTCTGCAAACGTGTGTAGTCGAGTTACAGGCTTGACACCATTCGAATCGACGAGACTTTGTGACCAAAGTGACAAGGGGGAAGCCATACCGGCAGGCTCGTCGGTAGGCATGAGTGCCACGGTGTCAGCGACGCGAACTCAGTAGCCACAGGCTACTTGTTCCACCATTTTTCAGCGACCACAACTTGAAGCTCATCATATTGAATGTGTTGCCCAGTCTCTCAGAGTGGGAAAAGCGCGATCAAGCAGGTCCAAGATGGCCATCTTAGATCTTGATACACAAGTATGATAGCATTTGAACAACTGATTGTTATTCGTTGATAGGCTGCGATTCGAGCGCCTCCAAGACGATAGATAAAGCTTGCAAGGGTCTATACGAAATGCGATAACCATGCATGTATTTGCTGCCCATGCTGTTCATTGGCAATTTTGAGAGACAATTGCCAGAATTGGGAGCCTCGCCAATCGTATTTGACTGCTTCTTGGAATTGAGATGATGAGCACGTGCTGTAGTAAATGAGGACTTGTCAGTTCGCGTAGACAGTATCGTGATTGGATCATACATGCCACCTCCAAATTGTTGGAGAGACGAACAACCAGTTCGCCTTTGTTCTGTGACACGTGCGGTGACCGTACTTGGGAAGTGCAGGAGACTGCCGCTGCTAGCCATATTTTGGGCCTGTGACGGCAAAGAGAGATTGAAACGCAACTGCGATAGTTAGTCGTGTCTCAAAGCAGAAATCTAACTCCAATTTCAGCTCCAAACCAGAGTAAATAGAACCCAAGAAAAGGACGTTGGACACCATAGACGAACTAGGTATTCCGCAGCCGTGCAGTTGGCATTGCGTGTTCCTGTGCAACCACGATTCCCACTCACCAACCATGGCGAAGCATCAGCCACAGTGGCCCTGCTCCAGACTGTGATGACAGACAAACTTGGACTCTGGCGATTCCTCACCCATCGACATCGGACGCTCGATATTCCACAGCCATCTTACTCTCGCACGCGTCCATCTCGCGCCCACCCAATCACAAGCCAGCGCAATCGACTCCTCCCGCAATCCTCCCTCGATCGATCCAACGCCAACAATGCCAACGTCATCTGAAAGGGAACATTTTGAATGTCCCTCTACATCATTTCGCTCTGCCAAATCGTCATACCTGGCTGGTTTCAATAATTCCTGTATTTACTGCTTTGAGCAATCTTCAGAAGGGCCGTGGATTGCGGTGCAAAACTTGGAATGGCCCTACCTGCCAACTTTCAGGCATGGTTCGGGGGTCCTGGACTGGGGGCGCTCGGCTCGATTGGGAGGTTCGAGGGCCGTGCGGTGGTGATTTTGGGATCGGATGGGCGTTCATGGTACGGATTGGGAGGGTGAGGTAGGGGTTAGTGGGCGGGAGTGGCGGATGAGGGTGGGGGTGGGGAAATGGTCGTGAGTCGTGGTGGAAACTTGGTGTTGATGATGTTTCAATTGGTGCAGATGGGTAGGGTTCTCGGGAGGATTGGTCATTCTTGGAGATGGCTAGCCTTGCTCTCCCTTTTCCTTGCTGATCGATATTGCTAGTCGATGTCTTCACATGAGGGGACTGGCGTGTACAACGGAGAAATAACACGGTCTCATCCCATATTGGACAGCAAGGATCAAGTTGCGGATAACCCAGAAGGCGATACTTTCATTGACACCGAGACATGAGTACAGATATGCAAGCTTAGAGTCCTTCGAGCGCTGACAAAGCAATCCAAAGTGAATGTGATCATTGGGACATGCGGCTCCCAAGACATCGTATCTCATTACAGAATGTCTAGCCTCACCAACCTGCCACAGTTCACATCCCCATTCCCTCCCTTTGAAAGTCTTTGTCACGCTCGTGCGCCCTTTCGTACTCCAACGCTCTTCTCCATTGCTCTACCCTCTCAATCTGACCCCTCATATTTTCATTCACTGAGCTGTCCTCTCTCGTCGACCGACCTTGCCTTCCTTACTTCTGCCCGTCAATCTCCTGACCGAAGTCACACTCAATCACATATGAGTACGTCTTGAGGCCTCCGCCATGGTCCCCCCACACCTGAAGTAACACAAAACAAACTGCTTCGCGATCGCTGCCTGACTAGACCGGAATATCAGGTAGATGATCAATAAGTGCATGGTGAAGTGTTGCGACAGCGTGCCTTTGCCGTACAAAGACGCAAAATGCGTTCTACAAGATTCAGTACATGATTTGATAATTTCTATGCGCGGTGTTGACCGAATCGAGCATGCGAGTGGATGAGATAAACACACTCCTGGGCGGATGGAGGAGCGGTATGTCGCGCAGGGCACCAGGCGTCGATTTTCAGCGAGCCAGTATACCAGTTCAGAAACGCTGCAAAGTATCTACGCGTTTCACGGAGCGAGTTCTGAAGCTGGTGCGAAGATCCTTAGGATAGCCGGACGAGGAACTGTGTCGGTTCATTGAGGGAGCCGTGATATTCCCAAGGTGGCAGGCATAGGCAAAGGTCGAGGCTGTGGCAATATATTTTGTTACGCGGCCTTGCGGAACAAGATATTGGTTGGGTGTTGGCGCTGTGCCATGATCTTCAACGAGTAGAAGTATGTGGATCGTTGCCGGGGGCATGCTGTTGTGATACGGGCGCACTCTCTTCGAAGGCCAGTCTGGTATCTAATCTGTCAGTATTCGACTAACGAAATTACCGTCTACAGTAGCAGCAAAAACGGAAGGAGCGGACCACAAAACATGTGCACAGGTGTGCTGTAAACGGGTGCGTTTGCACTTCAGCGCTGTTGCAACACTGCGATACAAAACCTCACGCCCATACCCACCCAACTCCACCTCACCTATAAATACCCATTAATCCTCGATACTTCCATCAACACGACAACCAGCAGTTGGTCGAGAGGTTAAGAGCTATCATCTGTTACGATATTTGTAGGAGTGATAGAACTTCCAGACCGTCCTTCACCTGGTTGCGTGTTCGATTCCCACCGAAGACCAAACTCGACAAAAAGAGTCAGGTTTACAGGTCGCCATCCAAGTCCTATACTTGGATGTGTGCTTTTTTGCTGGTGGAGGGTGTTGCGAGATGTATTTTTTTTTGCAAGTTGTGGTGGGGAATTTTGGCAGCAAATGCTACAGAAAGTGCTCGCACTGCCTGTGTAGAAGAAACTTTCCGTCTCTAAGTAGAAAACCGCAGTACTTAGATAGCTAGAGTTAATACAAACAAGAGGTATCTAAAGACACGCGGTAAGGAAGCAAAGGCATAGTATTGTGAGTTAATAAACATAGAGCTCTTTCTTGTTAAGATATTTACCCTATACTTAGAAATACAGGAGCACCCGTCTAAATTTTTTTAAGACAGTCGGGGATGAGATTAGTAACGTACTACCTTTTTCAAACAGGTCTCCTCGCACGAATTAGACATGCTATGACGTGTCTCTGCACCCTTGTGCTTCTATTAAGCTGCTTCCGCATGGTGTTATCGCAACACTTGTATCTTTTTGCGCTCGCCGCCAGAGATGGAAAGGCGTCAGATATTCAGTGAACCAACGATTTAAGCCACACGGCTGTGCTTAAGATGGGCCTGCTCCTCTTAAGCGGATTGTGTGATAATTATCAAAAAAGTCTACTACTGACATAATAACGCTCCGTATAGTGGCAGTAATATAAAGGTAGCAGTGATCTAATCGCAATAAGAAGCAGATTGTTTGCTTACGCTTGCAGAGTTGTTGTATAGGACATAATCATCACTCCAAGCGTCCTGGCGTCCCGGCACCACTCTAAGGGATCGTACCACCACAGCACATTGATATGGAATAGATCATGACTTCCTATACACAGCATTCCTGTAAGCGGAAGCGCGGCCCTTCATAGTATCGCTGTGTGGCTGCGCTTGACAAGGTTATACAGGTCTCCAATAGGTGGCACACTGTTAACGATGACTGAAATCAATCGGATGACGGTAACTTAATCCAGAAGTAGGCACCCTCTAGAATCGTCGAAGAAACGAATTATAAGCTAAATCTATAAGGTATGACCCGACCAGGAGCCGCGAACAGCAGGTTTCTCCGAAGGGTCATGTTGTCTTGAATTATGTATACTAGAGTCTAACATTACCGTTTGTGTTCACAACACTAACCAATATGCTTGAAAGTTTGTACTCGTGTGAAGCCGCCCACGCAGCTGCAGCATGGCATTGTAGTCGCGCATCGAATAGGATGACACCAATTCTATTTAGTGAGATTATCTATCGTGCTAGTGCATCCAAAGCTCGCAGACTTCTATGGCGCAAGTAACTGAGACATGGTTGGGTATCAACAACAAGGCAGCCTTTATATACTAGAAGATAGTATCTGTATAGATTAATTACAGTAACAGTACTATTGCGGGCCGCTTTATTCTATGCATGGCAAAGGGCCCCGTTGGCATTGGCTGCCCTTTACTATGTGGTGAGGAACGGGAAGTAGAGAAATTGTGAGAGCCGATAGTAATCAAGTATGGTCTCTTGGTCTGCAGTGAATGCAGCAACACAGAGCATGCTGACTGTTTCAGCGTCGCGGCAAGTCACATAACCAGTACAGACATCAGGCTGAGCTTGTGAGAGAGCCTTCCATGTATGTGGTGGCTACATCTGGGGTTGGGGCTGATGGCAAGAAGAAACTATGTGTAACGAGCAGCAGATCGAGTGCGAGTCTAGGGGTGCCTCGAATTCGCCAATGAAACCCAGGAATGGCGTAATCTGTGTGATTATGGATTATGTTGGTAGATGTGTTGTGAAGTTGTTAATCATAGTTGTTGATGTGTTACATGCGGCTGTCCTAACTACCAGGTGCTAGCGTGTTTTTGAGTCAATGCCCCGCCAAAACTCCAAATACCCCTCCAACAAAGTGTACGCGCGCCTTGAATCAGGTCAGAACAGATTAGCAGTAAGTTCTCTCCCCATTCACACCTTGACTCTACAGTCAACTTGCCATTCAAGCTCCCTTCACGCAAAACAATTACTAATTCACATAGATAATGTCCGAGTCTACAGCGCCAACGCAGGCACTGCCAGCAGAGGGGGAGAAAGGACCCTCAAAGCGTGCTCTCGAGAAGGAGGCCAAAAAGGCTGCAGCCAAAGCAAAGAAGGCTGCGTACGCTCTGCGGCCTAAGGAACAAGCGAAGCCTGCGGCGAAGACGGAGCCCACCAGCATCTTCTCAGAAGGCTGGCTCAAGCGCATATACGAAGAGAAGCCCGTGAAGGATGTTCGAACGCGTTTCCCTCCCGAACCGAATGGCTTCTTGCACATTGGTCACGCCAAGGCCATCGCCGTTGATTTCGGCTTCGCGAAATATCATAATGGGGTGTGTTACCTGCGATACGATGACACCAATCCTGAGAAAGAAGAGGAGAAGTACTTCACTGCCATTCTGGATATTGTGAAGTGGCTGGGTTTTGAGCCATGGAAGATCACTTACAGCAGCGACAATTTTGACAAACTGTATGAGCTGGCGGAGCAATTAATCAGAAAGGATGGCGCATATGTGTGCCACTGCTCCAGTATGGCACTCCCTAGCAATTGACTACAGAGAGCTAACTTTCCTATAGGAGAGGAGATTAACATGCAGCGCGGAGGACCGGATAATCGAGGCAAGCGCTACGGTTGTGATCATCGCACGCGACCCATCGAAGAGTCTATCACTGAGTTCAGAGCCATGCGTGATGGCAAATACCAGGCGGGAGAAGCTTTCCTGCGCATGAAGCAGAAGCTGACGGACCCGACTGAGGGTAACCCTCAAATGTGGGATCTGCCGGCCTATCGCATTGTAAAGGAGAACCATCACCACAGGACTGGCGACAAGTGGAGAATCTACCCAACATACGACTTCACCCACTGCATTTGCGATGCACTGGAAGGCATCACGCATTCGCTATGTACAGTAGAATTCCGTCAATCACGTGTATCGTATGACTGGTTGCTGGAACAGCTCGACATGAAGGTACCCAAGTCGGAGGAAAAGGGACCGATGCAGCGGGAGTAAGTGTACTACGGGGGATTCGAGGATACGAGTTAACAAGTGTTAGGTTTGGCCGATTAAGTGTAGGTGGCACGATTCTCTCCAAGCGCCGAATTCTCCAGCTTGTTGAAGGGACCACTGTGGAGAAGAAGAATGAAGATGGCACTATAACGAGCAAAAAGATTGCCCCAGCGGTGCGCGGATGGGATGACCCACGTCTATACACCATGGTCGCACTCCGACGTCGTGGTGTACCAGCAAAAGCCATGCTGAACTTCGTTGAGGAGCTTGGAGTCACGGATTCACTCACCGAGATTGAGCCACCTCGATTTGAATCCTCTATTCGCAAGCACCTTGAACGCACTGTCCCTCGTCAAATGTTGGTCCTTGACCCGATCAAAGTCATCATCGAAGACTTTACCACCGAGGATGAACAGGAAATGACCGTTCCATACGATCCTAAGGGTACCATCCCTGGAGAGCGAAAAGTCAAGCTTGGCGAGCAGGTTTACATCGACCGCACCGATTTCAGAGAAGAGGACAGTGAGGATTACTTCAGACTGGCACCTAACAAGGCTGTTGGCCTCTATAATGTCCCATTCTCCATCCGCGCAACGGAGTTCTCCAAGGATGCGAAGGGCAAGGTCTCTGAGATCAAAGCCGTCAAGGTTCCCGCTACCGAGAAACCCAAAGCTTACGTGCAATGGGTGGATGCGGAGACAGCCGTGCCAGTTACGGCTCGTCTATACAACTCATTGTTCAAGACCGATTCACCAAACACGCTGGACTGGAAGACTGGCGGCTGGGCCGATGACCTCAGGCCTGATTCTGAAATCATGTACGAACATGCCGTCATCGAAAGAGGTATCAGGGATCTTATCAAGGAAACGTCATTGGATCTAAGTGGTTCTTCGGATGCGCTCATTCGATTCCAGGCGCTGCGAACGGCCTACTTCTGTGTCGATATTGACTCAACAGAAGACAGGATTGTACTTAATCAAATAGTAAGCCTGAGGGAGGACAAGGGTAAATGATGGTCAGAGAAGTATAGCGTAGACTTTGCGGGCGTAACAGGCTTGAGCTACAAGGTTGTATTAACCGGTCACCAGAAGATGTAGATAGCTGAAAAGATCTCTTCATGATAAGACATAGAAAAACAAAATCGGTATGAAGGATGATATGCTATATAGTAGTAGACGGCGAAGCTTTCAAGTCGAGAAGCACAGACGATATGCCAAGTGCTTGTGGCTGAGCTGCATGTGGCAAAGCAATCACTAGCCACTAGCGTGAGAAAGTCGGAACAACCAGCGCCGACGGTTGCAGCGCGTGCGCCGTAGAACATATGTACATATAAAAACATATTCCATCAACACTCTCGACGTTTGAGGGGCCCAAAAAAAGACAGCAACCATGGCACCGCTGGTGGATGACCCGAAAATCAAGCAGGCGAGTCTGCACAACCCACTACCACTTCAGCTGCATCTGTATATCTGGCCTTTCCTGATACTGTGGCCTGGAATCTCAGCCATCTACCTCTCGCCGGAACGCTATGAAAAGTACTTACATATCGTCAGAATGGATGTTTGTCTGGGTTGCCACCATTGTCACCTTCCAGTCGCTGATTTGGCTGATGACACACTGGAACGTCAACCTCAAGAGCGCCTTCACCACGACCGCCGCCCGCGATGTGCGCTCGGCCCAGCTCATCAAGGTGCAGCCCATCAAGAACGCGGGCGCGGCCGAAATCTGCCAGCTGGTGCGCGACAATGTGGGCGGCAAGCAGAACATCTCTTTTCTGTTCCAGAAACGTCGCTTCCTCTACGATGCCGCCAAGGGCTCGTTTGCTCCGCTCTCTTACGCCCTCGATACCGACCCGAAGCCGCAGCTGAAGACGTTCCAGCAGACGCAGGGCCTCGTCTCGCCCGCCGAAATCGAGCGATTGACAGAGCACTATGGCACCAACGCCTTTGACATCCCCGTCCCGACCTTCACCGAGCTCTTCAAGGAGCACGCCGTCGCGCCCTTCTTCGTCTTCCAGGTGTTCTGCGTGGGCTTGTGGATGCTGGACGACTATTGGTACTACTCGCTCTTCACGCTGGGTATGCTGGTCATGTTTGAGAGTACCGTCGTGTGGCAGCGCCAGCGCACTCTTAACGAGTTCCGCGGCATGAGCATCAAGCCCTACGAGATTTTGGCGTACAGGGAGAAGAAATGGCAGCAAATTATGAGCGACAAGCTGTTACCCGGCGACCTGGTCAGCGTGGGTAGGACTAAGGAGGACTCGGGTGTGGCCTGTGATATGCTCCTTCTTGAGGGCTCGGCGATTGTCAACGAGGCTATGCTTTCAGGAGAGAGCACACCTGTGCTAAAGGAATCGGTACAACTCCGCCCGGGAGAAGCGCGCATAGAGCCTGAAGGCCTCGACAAGAATTCATTCCTATGGGGTGGCACCAAGGTTTTGCAAGTCTCGCACGGTACAAACGCGGAAGAGGATGGTGCAACGGTCTCGCGCCTGGCATCTGGTGTTCCTCCACCACCGGACAATGGTGCTATTGCAGTCGTCATCAAGACTGGATTCGAGACCAACCAGGGTAGTCTTGTCAGGACTATGATTTTCGCTACCGAGCGTGTCTCCGCCAACAATGTCGAGGCCCTCTACTTCATTTTGTTCCTTACTGTTTTCGCTGTCGCTGCTTCCTGGTATGTCTGGCAGGAGGGTGTCAGGCTGGATCGCCAGCGCAACAAGCTCCTGCTAGACTGCGTTTTGATTGTGACCAGCGTCGTTCCCCCCGAACTGCCCATGGAACTTAGTTTGGCTGTCAACACCAGTCTTGCTGCGCTCAGTAAGTATGCCATCTTTTGCACCGAGCCTTTCCGTATTCCTTTCGCTGGCCAGGTCGATGTAGCCTGCTTCGACAAGACAGGTACCTTGACGGGAGAAGATTTGGTTGTCGACGGTATAGCTGGTCTGTCGCTTGGCGACTCTAGCGTCGAGGTTGGTCCCGATGGTGCGCACACTGGCCTTACCAAGGTCACTGATGTTGCAACGGAAACCACACTCGTCCTGGCCACTGCACATGCCTTGGTAAAGCTTGATGATGGAGAGACTGTCGGTGAACCCATGGAGAAGGCTACCTTGGAGTCTCTTGGCTGGAAGCTTGGAGCTAAGGACATCCTTACTGCTACCACTACCACTGCCAAATCTCACGCAGAGATTGTACAGATCCGCCGCCGCTTCCAGTTCTCCTCTGCTCTCAAGCGCCAGAGCTCTGTCGCAACTGTTGTTGTCAACAACCAGAAGACTGGCCGCAAAGTGAGAAGCACGATTGCCGCCGTGAAAGGTGCTCCAGAGACTATTCGCAAAATGCTGGTCAACACGCCCCCGAATTATGAAGAAACCTTCAAGCACTTCACTCGTAACGGTGGCCGTGTTCTCGCGCTCGCCTACAAGTACCTCTCGGAAGAGGGAGAATGGGGCCAGAATCGCATCAACGATCTCAAACGCGAACAGGTCGAGTCTGATCTGCACTTTGCCGGCTTCCTTGTCTTACAATGTCCATTGAAGCCAGATGCGGTTGAAGCTGTCCGTGCTTTGAACGAGTCCAGTCATCGTGTCGTCATGATCACTGGTGACAACCCGCTCACCGCCGTTCATGTCGCCAAGCAGGTGGAAATTGTTGATCGTGACTGTTACATCCTCGACGCGCCTGAGAATGATGAATCAGGCCAAAAGGTCGTCTGGCGCAGTGTCGATGACAAAATCAGTATTCCCGTTGACTTTACCAAGCCCTTGGACGCTGAAATCCTGGAGACGAAAGACATCTGCATTACTGGCTATGCACTTTCAAAATTCATGGACAATCCTGGGTGGAGTCAGATCTTACGCCACGCGTGGGTTTATGCGCGCGTATCACCAAGGCAAAAGGAGGAGATTCTTCTTGGCCTCAAGGACTGTGGCTACACAACTCTGATGGCTGGAGATGGAACGAACGATGTTGGAGCTCTCAAGCAAGCCCACATTGGTGTCGCTCTACTCAACGGTACTCGCGATGATCTTGAGAAGATCGGTGAACATTTCCGCAACACTCAGATGAAGAATGTCTACGAGAAGCAGTGTCAACTCATGAAGCGCTTCAATCAGCCTCAGCCACCGGTTCCTATCATGATCGCTCATCTATATCCACCTGGTCCTACCAACCCACACTATGAAAAGGCCTTGGAAGCACAGGCGAAGAAGAAGGGTCTTGCGCCCGGTGCTAATGGTGCCGCCAACGGGTCGGCCGGCACACTTGTCGCTCAACAGCCTGGAGAGGTTCAGCCACCGCAAGCTGCTGGCAATGTGATGCAACAGATGCAGGAGAAAATGATGCAATCAGAGCTGGATGAACTCAACAATGAGCCACCGACGATCAAGCTCGGCGATGCCTCAGTTGCTGCTCCCTTCACGTCAAAGCTAGCCAATGTTGTTGCGATCCCAAACATCATTCGTCAAGGCCGATGCACGCTGGTTGCCACGATTCAGATGTACAAGATTCTCGCTTTGAACTGTTTGATATCTGCATACAGTTTGTCAGTCTTGTATCTTGATGGTATCAAGTTTGGTGATGGGCAGGTTACAATTTCGGGAATGATGATGAGTGTCTGCTTCTTGTCCATCTCCCGTGCAAAGGTACGTTGATCTACTATTCCGTCTTCTCGCCTCATACTAACATGTTTCCAGACCGTTGAAGCACTCTCCAAAGAGCGTCCTCAACACAATATTTTCAATACGTACATTATCGGCTCCGTCCTCGGTCAGTTCGCCATACACATCATCACTTTAATCTACGTATCCCAATACGTCCAACGCGTCGAGCCCAAAGACCCGAACCCCGATCTCGAAAAAGACTTTGAGCCTTCCCTCCTCAACTCTGCAATCTATCTGCTACAACTGATCCAGCAAATCTCCACATTCGCAATCAACTACCAAGGCCGTCCTTTCCGCGAATCCATCCGCGAGAACAAGGGCATGTACTACGGTCTCGTCACCGTCTCCGGCGTCGCCTTCTCTTGCGCCACAGAATTCATTCCAGCGCTCAATGAGAAGCTGAAACTAGTGCCTTTTACCACTGATTTCAAGATTATGATTACAAGTATCATGGCCCTCGATTTCATCGCGTGTTACGTTATTGAGAAGGGCCTGAAGTGGGGCTTTAGCGACAACAAACCCAAGGATATTGCCGTACGCAGGCCGGAGCAATTGAAGAGAGAGGCAGAGAGGAAAGCGGTTGAGGAGAAGGAGGCACAGGAGAAAAGGAACAAGGAGGCTGAGGAGAAGAGATTGGCGCTAGAGGCGATGAAGGAGGAGCGGCTGAGGAAGTTGAAAGAAAAGTGGGGTGTACAGTAGTGATGAATCGCTCACTATGTGCAAGTCTGTGGGAAGATGCGGCATTCCTGATTATTGTCGAGGCATAGCGTGCATTGTCCTGTAGTTACACTCCTTGTACATGGGAGCATGACTTTGACCAGAAGTTTTGAGCCTTTACTTTGGCATTGCCTGTTGCTCGTTACATTGATCATTTAGACATGATATATTGCGCCCTGGTTTTGTTCTCTCTGCTCATCTTTACTCTTCACTCCATCCAAAATCCGTGAAGTTACGGGTGTGTACTATGGCTTGGAAGTCCGCGAGCTATCACATGACAGCGGGTTTTCGTATTTGGGGCCTTCTTGCACATGTTCTCACCCCCAACCATTCGCGACACGTTTCTAATGTTGTCACCGTCCCCTCCCCCGGCATTGTGTTTGTTTGGAAATATCGTATGCGACACGCAAGATGTCAGCCACGGAGCACGAATATACAAGCCATGTGTTGCAAAACTAGTGGACGTTGTAAATTTTCTCTGCTTTTTTTATTTGGGCCGCGTGGGTAGTTGTATATGTGATTTCAATCATTTTGTGGTACTCCACCGATATTAACGTCACTAGTATCTACCCGTTCCATACAAAATCCATTGCTTTTGTGTCTATTTCCCTTTTCAATAGTACCGAGATATGCACGCTAAGCCTCGTGCGAACAACAAGAATATATAAGGTCTCTGTCCTTTGCATGTTGATTGTTTCTTGCTTCCATCAAACCTGTTCACTTCTGGGGGGTTCAAAACTCAGCGGTGGAAAAAATATATGTGGGGGAGGGAGGGAAGTGGGGTTGTGGTTCCTTTCGAAAGGGAAAATGGAAGAAGTGGAGCATGTGGCTGTTTGGCTGTTCCTTTACCTACCTGTATCCTTCATGGAATCGACACAGGTACCGTGACGATGTATGGATCTCCCTGGACTCAGCACCCGGCTTGATGCGAATTGGAGTACCGCCACGGTATCTCGAGAGAAACATACCAGCGGTGCTTGGATGGGACTCACTTTACCCCCAGATCGAAACAGCACAAGCATCTTACATGTTATTCTCCAAGGTTCACCCTGAAAACTGCATTCTGTCCATCACAGAATCGCCTGGCTCGGAGGTTCGACTGGATTGACCAGCTAGCCACGATGAAGAAATTTCCTGGGTGTTCCTTTAATTATTCGACAAGACAAGCTCCGCCTTTCCCCCTGGTCCTGGTCTCTCAACCAAATACCAGATGATCACATGGATATGCCGTCCGAAGCTTCTGTGAAGGCCCAACGGCTTTTGAAACTGACCGACTCGCTTTCAATGTTCCATCCGACCCGCTCTACTATCTAAAGAGTATCCACATTTCCAAATTTTCACTTTCGCTGATTTGGTGGTTGAATATGGGGCTTATCTGCGGACGGTCCCGATGCCTGACGATGATCGAAATATTTACCGTCGGTCGCCATGAGTCATTTATTGGACTATGGACAACTTATACAGACCCTGGACAACTGGTATTGAGAATAAAGAGTCCTGGAGAGAATTGATTCCGTTCAATATACGCCCGCGAGACACGGTTCTGGATTGGACGCGTTTGCGCCGGACACGTATGATTTGCGACTTGGTATATAAGAGGAGATGCCCTCTTCCACCACCTACTGATCGGAAGGACCAAGCATACATTCTTCTATCTCCACTCCTGGCCAGCCTAATGCGAACTTCTGAAATATAATATTAATACACGTGCCCTTTCCCTTTTCCAACAGGACTACGCATATGGCAATAGGATTATCGGAAGGCATATATGGTAACGATCCGTCCCTTAACGTTACTTTTCCAAAATGCCATTTGGCTCCTATGACCAAAATCAAGGATGGTCTGGATAAATACAGGTCTAGTCACTCTTCCCATGGACTCCGGATATATGTCATGAAGGGCAACGTACAAACATTTCAATGGCTCCTTCATCACATCATGTTACAAGATTACTTCATTTATGGTGCTGTGAAAGAGGGTTAGATGAACGCTTGAAATATTCCAGGGACAGTTACATGGAGTGCGCTTGACCTTCACAGTTCCGACCAGCACAATAGCAAAGCATTCGGTTGTATGTCTTTCCAAGTCATCAAAAGAGGAACCTCAGAAGCTGCCCAAGGATCCTCTCTTCATAGCTATTTGAGCATAACGAAGAGCGTCAAATGATCATACCGCTTTCCCGCCTGGATATCACGCATCGCCATCCCAATAGGAGTATCCATTTGTTCCGACGCTTTATTTCATACTTCAAGCCTTGAAATAGTCTTGATCATGCCGAAACCCCCATTTTCGGAGTAGCTGAGGAGTATCACTAGACATGGTAACAACAACAGAACAAGGAAGTTTCTAAGGCTAGGGAAAAAAGAAATATGTTCATCCACGAACAAGAGAACCAGCAATCATTGTGTATTATTGAAGAAGACTGCCAATTCGGAGGACACAAAGACAAAAGCACAGGACTACCACGTTCAGGATCTTCCGCACTCTAACCGACGATGAAAGCCAGGACTAGCCAGCGGGTTCTGAACGTTCCTCTCAAGCACCATAGCGAAAAGTACAATGGAAATTTGCTATGAGGAAGTGAAGATGAAGAGGCGTCGAACGCTTCACAATCCCTAAATTATTGCCGCACAACTGAATATTCGCCCACGCAGTAGTTGTGCCAGTCTGATAGTCAACTACGAAGGAAACGACTGAAATCAAGAAAAACTACGCCAAATGATCTTGTATCCCGGGCGAAACAAGTTTTATATCACAACTCCATGTCAATCACCAATCTGGCGCTTGAAAAGATGCGTTCAGTTCGATAGGATTGCGTCGCGTTGCACATGTCAAAGTCAAAACCTTGAAGACATGTTCTGACTCCTTTGGGTTCCTGGAGCGTCTTCACAGTAGTTCCCGAAATGGTACATAAATCACCTCAAGCACCTGTGGATCTTTCCCCACACACATCGCACTTGATGCGATATATCCAAACTGCATGACTCCACAGCGAATGTCTCTAGTTCCGAGTTTTCAAAACTCCACAAAATAGTAGACGTCAATTCTCATTATTCTCGGGTTGGAATGCCTGGATCCGTATTTCTGAATCACAGGACTTGTGCAGCAGAACATGGATATTAGGATTATATTCCATCAGCTTCTTCGAAATTTTCCATGGTCTCGAAATAGGCTCTCCGATTGGCAGTTCTACGAGATACTAAGGCTAAAACTCTGCCTCTAATATGGTTCAAGCGAATTTGAAAACAGGAGTATACAAGTACATGTCATCCCTCTTGTCGCACTCAAAACCTAAGATATGGAAAGCATGATTGTATCTTTACATGGCAATCATCCTTGGCGTGTTGAAGTATATGGTATATTACAAATATGCCTGCTCTCGACTCAGAAACAAAGCGACAACACATTGAATTCGTGGTTTGCATGTGCCGCGTTTCGAAACATGTGGAACCTTCACATGTCAGAAACAGGGTGTTCCACTCTGCCAACAGTATAGTGGATGGAACAAGGATGAAACGCGTGGTCAAAATCGAAAATTTTACATTCTGGTTCCCGTGTCTGTGGAGATCAACTGAATCGCCTAGAGGTGGCATTTGGGAGACGGAGTCACGGTATATTATGTACCGTAATTACGCGCCGCTCCCTCTGCCAACACACGTTTTTGAGGACTCTGAGACCATAGTCCCATGTCCGAAAACTCGCGGGCTTTGTCAATATGGAATGAAGTAACTATGGTGAGAACTCAGACTAGTAGTCCAGAGCACAGAGCACAGAGGTGCCCTCTCTTGATATCAGACTTGATATGTTGCTTCCACACTTCAAAGCAGCACAGATCGCATGGCATATTTGCTGGCTGTCCTGGTCGTCTTCGCACATGGGGAAGGCACGGGATAGATATATAAATTGAGGACGCGATAGGCCTACTTCTCTTCATTTACAATTACTAGTCTTGATCCAAAATCATGTAATTTCGGGATGACATGGCTGGTGGAGTATGAGTGGGGGTGGGCTTTAATATTTTGGAGGAATTTGAATATGAAACCTGGGTGGCTTTGAGTATTAATCAAACGTTTACTGAAAAAGAAGCTCCCTAGGCACAAGCCACTTATGCTTCATCTGTTTGAACTTTTTGCCTAGTTGAAGATGAGAAATTGTTTCGTCCGCGGCTACTTATTCTCCTGCAATATCAATAGTGTATCTCGATAGAAGGTGATGTTACTTGCAATAATGAGCCATGAATCCAGAGAATTCGTCATTCTCTGAACACACTAAGATTCGCATTGAAGATGTTTGGTTCATGTAATATGTAGGGCGAAATCTATTTTATCTCCTTCATCTTCCTCAACAGCTCTTTCATGTCTTTTGCATAGATATCAAACTCACCAAATACTTCCGTGACAGGCTCGTGTTCCTCGACAGCCAACCACGCCGTTTTGAACCCAGCCGTTCTCGCTGCGATCAAATCCCACGAATGCGCTGCGACAAACCATCGTGTACCGTCGCCTTTTTCACCCATTCCTCTGCTACTTAAATGCCGATTTGCATTCTCATAAACTCTCACGTCTGGTTTCGCGATCTGCAAATCATCGCAACTGAGCAGGTGGTCCCGATCAAGTTCTATAAGCGCCTTGCGGTAATAACTCAAACTTGTCTGCACACCCCCGTTCGTGACAGCATAAACATCCCAGCCTGCTTCTCTTAGCCCATCAAAGCACTCTTTAAGCCCCTCTCGCGGCTGCATAGCCTTGAACGCCTTCATGACCTCCGTGACGTCTTCATCGCTCACTGCATCTCCAGGAATGTTCACAATACAACAAGCGCGACGGAACGTGAGCTTGAGTATTTCCGCAATTGGCCTGTAAGACCCCGAGATGCTGGTATAAGTGAAGTCTCGTTGGGCAGCGTAGAACCAGGCGAAGAAAAGGGATTTGGCATCCACAGAGTGGGTGGTCAGAATGGGGCCGAGGCGTTCGCTGATAGCATTGATGGGGACGGAGAAGGCAAAACAGGTCCCGATTACATCGAAGGATGCGGACTTAGTCATCTTGAAAGCACGAGAGTAGGGTTGCAATTATGATGGTTTCAAGAATGGGCCAAACGGAGTGGTTGCTTTTTGCAGATATCATAGCCGACCAAGTTGGCCGATGTTCTTACCTCATCGCACGGCCTGCCTAGTTCATGACGTACCGGTAGGTACGGGTTTCCTTCCTCGTCACCCGTATACGGTACCGGTGGATAAAGTATCTGAACAAGAACAAAAACTAAAACGAGCCCGCGGCAGAATATTGCACCCGTGAAGCACCGTCAACCAGGCACGGCGGGATATCAAGACTTGATGCAAGAGATGCAAGAGATGTCTGTCCGCCCCCATGTGCGTCGCGCTTTGACCCCCCAAAAGGACTGTTGTGAGGCTTGGATGAGGGGCACTACCGGTACCGGTATGCCTCATGCCTACAGTTCTTCCGTCGCCCCTACATCTCGTAGCAAACACAACATCAAAGCTGCCGGTCAGCTTATTTTCAGCATTACCTACGCCTCTTCTCCCTTTTTCAAGTGTTCTCTTCGGTCCCTGGGTGTAACAGGATGTTTGGAGTGGCTCAGATCGTCTACTACGCAACTTGCGTGGCTTGGGCCGCGATCTTTTACCAGGTCTATCTGAAGGAATTCTTTGCGACAACTCTTGGCTTTGGTCGCATTGTACAGAGCATTGATGAGTTTCCATATACTTGTAGACGCGTTGAGCACCCGCGATTAGAGGCCTGTGAGGATATTTGGCTTGACAATGAGGCGAGAACGTTGTATGCGGCTTGTGCGGGGACCAAGGGCAGGCTAGCATGGAGTCAGGCGTAAGGCACCAACATGTTCATCATCATACATATCAATGGCCTTGAAATGCGGTGGCTAACGTCTGACAGAGTCGGGAAGTTGAATGTCACTGGTCGGAGGCCTGGCGGGTCAGAGTTGATTGCGCTGGACATCGATTACCCAGGTCATGATAATCTTTTCAATATGCGTGCAATTAAGCCTGTCGGGTACACAGGAGCTACGGGAGATGGAACCCTGGATCTCCTTGGATTCGATGCCCAGATCCTCGATGGTGATACGATTCAATTCTACTTCGTCAACCAACGACCGCCAATTGGACCTTTCAACAACGTAATCGATGCTTCGAAAATTGGTGCCAACTCTACAATTGAGGTTTTCGAGATGAGGCGCAGCGAAGATCAGATGCGCCACCTTCGTACTATCTGGTCACCTGACCAGGTACACACCCCAAATCGAGTTGCTGCATTGGGTGATGGAGCGTTTCTTGTCACCAATGATCACTCCGTAAGAAGTGGCTGGGTATGTAGGTCCCGTTGGCATTGATAATGCGAGTGCTCACATCTACCAGCGAATTTTGCTTGACCCCATCATTGGTGGTGGAAATGTAGCATATTGTGATGGTAATGGTCAATGTCACGATGCATTCAGCAGAGATGAAAAGATGGCCAATCTCGCACCGTCAGCTCCACATAACCAAGCCAAGTTCAATACGTGGATGTCCGCGTACCTCGCAAAAATTGAACATCTGATGCCTAAGTTGAAACTGAAATTTCCCAATGGCCTTGCGAGAGGTTTCGACGGTCTCTTCTATCTGCCCAGTACCGTCGATGGCCAAATTCGTGTTCTCGCACTCAAGGATGACAAAACACTCCAACAAATTGACACCATTCGTGTGGGGATGCCACTTGATAACGTATCGCCGGATGCGAAGGGCGATCTGTATGTTCCCGGGTTTCCCAACTTGCAATCGGTGAAGGGGTTTGGAGACCCATACGGCCAACCTGCTCCAGCGACTATATGGCGCATCAGGAAGACTGTGGATGCGAATGCGGATGGCGTCAGATCTGTAGACTACCGCATCGAAAAGGTCATTGAAGACAAGGACTCAAAAGTAATTGCTGGCGCTACAACAGTGAGACACGATGCAAGAACTGGACGTCTGTTCATCGCGGGTAAGTTGCTCTCAGGAACGCATTAAGCGTGAAAAAAAAACTAACAGGTCACAGCTGCTGTATATCCATTCCTTGTGGTGTGTGAGCCACACTCATCTTGACTTGGTCTCCGCAGATGAAAGAAAGATGCCAATTGAGGTTTAGAACAGCTTTGATAGTCTGATAACCGACCTCCAATCCTCTCCTCTTGTTATACAACAAGAGCAATGCACCAAACACCTACAGCTGCACCAACAAGTTCATTCGCAAACACACCGCCATTAGCTGCCGCCGCAGCCGTTGAAATCGTTGCTGGTGTTCCGCCGCTAGTCTGACACGCACTCGCAGATCCAGAAGCACTCCTAGAACCCACAATCGGGGTCACGCTCGGCATCGCACTAGCGATACCCCCACTCACCGCACCAGTAGAAACTGCCCCTTGAGTAGAGTTCGAGACTGTAGCCGCCGAATCCCCACTCCCATTCAACTTTTCCGCACCAGCTGTGATGGAAACCGACAGGCTGGTCAGCTCCGCAGCTTCGTAGCTTGTGGTGCTCGATCCAGGAAAATCTGCCTCACTTCCGCCCGCAGTTTCCTTGCATACGATCCAGGGCGTGGCGAGGGAGCAGTCGACGGTGGATGTGAAGTCGGTGTCTGGGTCCGACATGTCGATGTTGTAGGTTGACGGACCGTAGACAATTGTCTCTTTGGGATAGAGACCACAGGGTTGCGAGGGTGGGCAGGCAATTGAGATGGTTGTGGCTTTTGCCTCTGCGGTGACAACGGAGGAGTGGGGCATAAAGGCGGGCCAGAAGCCGATGAAAGGGACTTCTAGTGTCGGGGAAGCATCTTGGGCTAGAGTGATTCCCATAATTCTGGTCAGTATGAGTGCTGGAAGCATTTTTTCATACAATTCTGCGTACGAGTAGCGCGACAAAAAAATCCAGAGGGAATATCAATATAAACGGACGGGAGTTTTTGCAGGAGGTTTTTAGTCCGGTTAGTTGTGAATTTTCGCATGAGAACTTGGAATCAGGAACATTTTATAATGATTGCAAAGCCATGTTGCCGCTGTATTACTAGATCAGGAGAGAGAGATATGGTAGGATGCGGCGTAGTTAAGGGCAGGTCAGAGACTTGGCATAGACTACAGGCCCTCGTTGCCATTGTATCGCACATCTTCACCAGGCTTCAAGAAGTATTCTTGTCTCTGAGGGTGCAACAGTCTGTTCAGCCTCTTCTCATTCTGCCGAAATCCGTGTTGGAAAGAAAGTGAAGGACCATGGCCACATGCAAAATCTCGAATTGCCCGCTGGGGCGCGATCGAGCTACTACCGTAGTTACCGGTACTGGCCAGCCGCCTTTATCCCAGTACCTCTTCTTTCGGACTCCCGATTCCCCACTCTTATAGGTCAATAGTTCCTTTGATATACCATACTGTGTCGCGTATCATGCTCATTTTGTGGCAGGTGAGATCGGGACATGGGAAGGAAGCAAGCGCTTCACTTATTAGCAGTGTACCTACCTGAGCGTCAGGTTGTCCTTCAAAGTAGCATTCGAGCTCTCCTTGCGGAAGATCGGTACCGGTACTAGTGATGCCATTTCTCCAAACTTATAATCACAGTGTTAATGAGAGATCTTTCAAGAACACAGATGATCTGCTATTAATACGCACGAGACGGAGGGTTCCTCATTGTTGCTTGCGCATGCCTTTGGATTTAGCAAGGCCGAATTGATAAGTCATTTAAAACAACTTGAAGTTCCTGTCCCACTCTGCGAGGAACGATGCGTAACCGTTGGGCTTGGCGCTTTCATGTGACGTCGCTCAGTGCCGCTAATTATATAATGTTCGGCATATGGAAGCTATCTAGTGAAAGCGTCAATTGGCCTACGAAAAACAGTGTGGACGGCATACAGAGGAGAGCCAAGACACTCAACTTCGAGTGATGAGCCAGTCAGCAGTGCCAAAAAGTTCACGCTCTCCCAGACGATCGCGCAATCCCTACACCGTTTGCTATGTTCGGGCCTATGCTGGCGTGACAGCATACGGCGTTGAGGCCTTAGAGCATTTTAAATCCAGCGAATTTATTAACTGCGCAAGGCTTTCCCTAAAACTCCGCATATACAAGACCTTGCACGTCACTCCTTCAGGCTTAGAGTATCCTTGGCAGGATCACGCCCCAATGCCGCCAAGATGATCTGCAAGACTTTCGCTTTTTCAAGCAACTATGCCATGGGATGGCTGTTTGTCCTACTCACAGATGGTTATCTGAGTTTTCATAAAGAAGGATATCATAAAACCCAAGTTCGAATACATTCTCTCTCTCTCATCCCAACCCCAGACTTAAGCTTCTGTCACCCGTTATGATACGACCCGCCTTCAATGGATTCATTCTAGTGTTCGCGATCGTTGTCATTAGTAGGTTAAATAGCGACCCACTACGATGTGGTAGGACCTCTTCCCCACAGGGAACATGGACGGCCCGTTTTTAGTCGGCAATCCTCAAGTCTTGTTCTCGCAGATAGCCAAGACGGCCACAATGTTAGCCATCGACGCCATTATAGATGTAGTAGGTCCGAGAGGCCCCAACAAGTCTTTATTTATCTGCACCTACATAGTACGCAGGTGCCTCCCTCTGTTCTTTCTGCACTTCCCAGATCCTGAACACAAGTATGGCGGACCCGAAATCGGATGAAAAACATGGCGGAGTCGAAGTGGACCGACACTCCGATGGACAATGCCATGATAGTGATGCCGGGTTTACAAAGTCAGCTGAAGAGAAAGCGTTGGTTCGCAAGATAGACTGGTTTCTGATGCCCACCATATGGCTGTTGTACATGCTTGCGGTAGGTATCCCAACAAGGCATCACTTACCTTTATGACTGACCACTTCCAGTATATGGATCGCTCGAACATCGGCAATGCGAGGATTGCGGGCATGGAGGATGACTTGAGCCTCACTGATTCGCAATACTCCCTTGCGATCAACATGTTTCAAGTGAGCTTCATCACGTGCAGCGTTCCATCAAACATGATCTTAGCTCGAGTGCGTCCCAGCATATACATCCCAACAATTGTAAGTCTTTAATCTCCAGGTGCAATCTGTTGGTCGATTGACCCCCCATTAGATGTTTCTCTGGGGTATAGTCGTTGCCGCAATGGCTGCCATAAAAAAACCATCCCACCTGTGGGGCCTCCGTGTCGCACTCGGTGCGCTCGAGGCTGGTTTTGCGCCTGCGGTCTTTCAGATCTTCTCTACATGGTATCGCAAATCGGAGCAGAGCAAGCGGTTCATGGTTTTCTGGTCGGCTGGAATCCTTGGAAATGCTTTTGGTGGCATTCTTGCCGGTACCGTTACGGGTGGCCTCGACGGCGCCCACGGGATTCCTGGCTGGAGGTGGTAAGTAATGGTTCACTGGAGATCTCACAGGAGTGCCCTACTGACAGGGTGGCAACATTAGGTTGTTCCTAGTCGAAGGCGTGATTACTTGCGGTTGTGCTCTACTCGCTCCGTTGGTATTGCTCGACTATCCTGCAACAGACTCCAAGTTCACACCAGAGCAGCGAGCTTTGGCAGTAAGTCGTCAGGAGTCGGATGGCCTCAACACCAACCTTGATGGAGGACGACGCATAGGCGTCTGGAAAGCGCTTTTGCTCGCGCTGATTACTCCAGCATACTGGATCATTTATATTGGCTTCATGACCGTCGATGGAAGTTTCTCGATCGGTTATTTCTATCCGACTCTCGTGCAGGGTCTCGGCTACAGCTCCACCACAGCCCAGTTCATGACTGCGCCCCTATATGTTTGCGCGCTTCCTGCAGCAATCATCCTTTCCATTCTTGGTGATCGAAGTCCTAACCGGAGAGGATTCTATCTGGGCGGAGCCATGGGCCTCGCAGCCGTATTCTCGGCAATCACAGCCGGCGTGACAGGTTTTACAGCTCGTTATGTCCTGCTGGTCTTCCTCAACATGGGACTATACTGCACCATTCCCCTTGTCCTATCGTTCAGCACGTCGAGTCTAGGAGCTGTGGAGCCAGAGGTGCGAGCTGTCGCGCTGGCATGGATGTCTGCGCTGGGTAATCTCGCGCAAGTTTACAACTCTTATGTTTGGCCAGACCGCGATGCGCCGAGATACTTAACAGGCTTCTGCACGTATGCAGCGCTTATGCTGGTTGGAGCATCACTGTATACCGCCGGAGCAATTTACTTTAGACGGAAACCACTCCAGGCCAGGCGTTGAGAACAAGGACTCAAGTGCATAATAAGACGGCCATTGTTCGCGTTCGGATTCCGAGACCTGAGAATGGTTGATCTGCTCTTCCCAAAATAGCAGGCTGCTTCTAGAGATGAAAGTAAATTATCGAACTGAGGGTTGAGGCTGAGCCTGTGCTGGAATCTCCTGAGGCTATGCCAATGCGATGGTCTGACGTTAGAAGTGAAGGTTTATCACTACGTATGGGAGCCCCGCGCTGCAAATATTGCAGCTGACTTTGAGAAATATCCGGGTCCAAATTCGTGAGAAAACTATTCCCATGAGTCAAGATTCGGTATTTTGACCGAAATAGCTATACAGGGCGAGATTTTAGATCTGACAGAAAACGTGGCTGTTACGTCAGCTCTCGTTCAGGTGCACAAGCACGATGCCTCAAGTCTAGTGCGTGAGAATACTACATATGAATATATGTTGGACTAAATATCTGCCTCATACCGTAGACTGCCTGGTCGTTCTTCATTGATCGTCCTATTGTGCAAATTTGCCTGCGAAGTGATGTAGGTAGTCCGTAGGACCACGGCGCTTATACAACTTTGCAGGCCCATGTTATCTCAGGACACATAAAATATGATGTAATATTCTCTCTGGCTGTAAGCGCTATCGAACTTGCCCCTCTCGAATCTAGCATAGAATTACTACGCCACCACTGTACCGGTATGTACAGGGGTACCGTAGGGTATAAGCGAGTTCTCCTCAGCCACGTACAACGAGGCCCAAGACAATCTGACTACCAACATCACCGTAACTGACGCGACACTTAGCACTTGATGTTCGGTATTCCCCAATAGATACACTGAAAATACTCCTTTACAGAGCATATTCCGAAGAGACATCTGCCTAGTTGTCTCCTCACACGCCATAATTACCCAGTCCAATCCTGTCAGTCATGCCACGTTACTGCCGGATCATGATTGCAGCAGCTTCTTAAGCTTGGTGAAAACAAGGTCACAGCACGGGTAATAGATTGTAAGCGCTATCAAATAGTTCGGAATTCAATGATGGACAATGTGGTGTCAAGGTTGATTTCATCATTCGCGGAAAATTGGTGCTGATACAGGGCCAGCTGCGGCACGGACGTAACTTCGCAATGAAGAGGATCATGTTTGCATGGTTGTATGTCATCAGAGCTGTAATGGAGCTAGGTTGTCATGTGTATGCACGAAGTAGGCTGTAAAAAGTAGATTAGGACATCGCGAGAAGGTTCGGAGGCATAGCGAAAGAGGACACTGGGTTGCTGCTTTAAGGCCACTTTCCAATACCTATATGTTAGCGTTGCCCGTCTTGAATGGAGGCCCCCAAATCATACTATATTATTTACACCCTCTTTTTCATATCCTTATTGAAGTCAATACACTGATAATGTTTGCTTGTTTACCGCGCCCGAGGTGGAGGCTAAGGGTAGATCGGCAGTCGGGAGACGCCCAAAGATCTGCCTATGATGGTTATATCAGCAAAATGAGACGGAACGAGTATCCCATGCTCAAAGGTATCTTAAGAGCTTGCCTGAAGTCATAGTACATGGCTAACAGTCCCCAGATATAACATATCTCGACCATGGTGGTACTACCCTAGCACCCAAGTCTCTACTGGATATGTTCAGTAGCGAAATGCAGGCAACTTTGCTGGCGAACCCACATTCAGACTCACAAAACCCTAGCACATCGGCCCTCATCGTGGAGGAGACTCGTCTTGAGGTGCTCAAGATGTTCAGTGCGGACCCAGCACATTTCGATGTTGTCTTCACCGCCAACGCAACAGCGTCTATCAAGCTCGTCGCAGAATGTTTTTCCGGAAACAAAGCAGGGTTCGACTATTACTATCACCTCAATAGCCATACAAGTCTTGTTGGGGTTCGAGAGTTAGCTACACACAGTCATTGTCTAGCGTCTCATGAGACGGATGAATGGCTGGATGCGCGCGCCAACAACATTCGGGATACCCATCAAGAACGACCGAGGTTATTTGCGTATCCCGCTCAATCGAATATGAATGGAGAACGACTGCCACTAGACTGGCCCGGCAGACTACGGTTTTCTGGCCATCACCCACATACTTACACACTATTAGACGCAGCGGCTCTGGTGTCCACAACGCCACTGGATCTTAGTGACCACGTTCATGCTCCCGATTTTGTAGCAATGTCTTTTTACAAGATCTTCGGCTTTCCTGATCTCGGCGCTTTGATCGTTCGCAAAGCTTCGGGACATTTGTTCGATCACAGGAGGTATTTTGGTGGTGGGACGACGGAAATGATTACATGTGTCGACGAACCGTGGGTCGCGCGCAAACAATCGAGCCTGCATGCGAGACTTGAGGATGGCACGATCGCGATCCGTAATATACTTGCTTTGCATTGTGCCATCAAAATGCATCCAAAACTCTTCGGTAGCCTCAGAGAGACCTCCCAGCACGCCTTTTGGCTAGCGCGTTGTCTCTATCAACGGCTGGAAGTGCTTCGTCATGCTAACGGTACTCCCATCTGCCACATCTACAAGTCACATACGTCAAGTTATGATGACTCACGAACGCAAGGTGCGACTCTAGCATTCAACGTTCGACGAAGCGACGGCTCTTGGATAGGTTGCTGGCACGTGGGCAAGGCACTGCGCGGGGACAATATCCACGTTCGCACAGGAAGTCTCTGCAACCCAGCTGGAGCAGCTATGGCTCTTGGTGTTGACGCTGAATGGTTGAGAAGAGCATTCGAAGAGGGCTTCCGTTGCAATACGGATGTGGACGTGCTCAAAGGGGTCCCTATCGGCATGGTCAGAGTTACTTTTGGGGCCATGAGTACTCTTGGGGACGTAGATGTACTCACACGCTCTCTCAAACGCCACTTCATGGATCATACCACCATCACAATGGCAGGCCCAGGGGATTCCCAGTCTTATCAGTCGACAAAGGAATCATCGATCCCCGAAGATATTACCGAGAGAAGGCCTTGTGATAACTTGGACACTCAAAAGCTTCCCATCAAGCCACTGAATGAGCATGTCAGGAAATTTCAAGTGACCGGATTGAGTGGCATGGCATGCGTTCGGAGAGCTTTAGGGTCTTCTCAGACTGAGAAGATACAAACTCTCTATTCCACTACATCAGCCTAATGGAGTGTAAATATTTGCAACTTAATGTTGCGTGCGACGCGATGAGAAGTCTTGTGCAGCCGTATCACATAGCTACGCCATGAGTCGATTCAAAGCCATCCTTTTGTCATTCTTTTGTATTAACCGACAGACTCAGGTAGAGATTTATTTCTGCGCGAAGAACACGTATATAGCATCTTACATTCTGAGTTTCTAAATCTTAAATCCATTAATCTCGAATCCCAAAAAGCCACAGCTAGCTATTGTCAAAGATCCCTCTCCATTTTATCGTTAAGCGGAACGCTCTTTCTGTATAAACTATAGGCGTATTTTTCTATATTCTTGCATGTTTCTGTTCTGTCTGCGTCTGCGGCACATTGCACAAGTTCATAAAAATTATATTCAACATTACGTTGCGATATTCGATACTCTTGGTCACGTAGCAAGCGGCATCTCCTGAAAACAAAACTTTCATCATCTGCAACATCTAGTACGGATTGGTGTCGACTATCTTGATCTTTTTCCCCATATCTCAAGAGCGACATACTTAGTATACGTCATTATCATGGGCACACTAGAACCTAGGCCACTGCGATCTGGATAATTCATGAATTAGATCTGTCTTGGCTAGGGTAGTCTCCAATTACAATGCAGGCTTTCATATCGCAAAAGCTGTACCTGAACACAACTGGCGCAGCCAAAAGCCAATGGGTGATCCTCTAATTAATACCACCTCTTCAAAACATCAAGACTTGCTTACTACCGCAGTATGATTCTAATGGTTCCCATACACTTGCTGTGCCTGCAATGCATCGATATCAACAACTGGGCCGTGGTACGTCTTTTTAGCCCAAACAAGGTAGTAGATCGTACTGAATATCGCAATCGTGCCAGTCACGAGGATCGACCAGTTCATATCTGCGACTGTCACCGCCTTAAAGGACGGCCAAAAGCTGAAGAAGAAAATAAGCGAGAGGTACATGCATGAAAATGCATTATTGGCAATTCCCCATGGCCCAGGGACTCTCCAGGGACCCCAGCTGGCTCGTACCATACCATCGTTGGTTGTTGTTGGCGATTCCGTGTCGAACGTTTCGCTGCTTGCGACAATAGCTCCAGTACAACGCCGATAGAGCAGAAGGGATGCGGTTAACAAGTACGATGCGTATAATCCCGCAATTGCAACGGAGATGATTCCGTTGAAGGCAGCAATAGAACCTAGATTGATGACACCAAGAAGGCATGCCGTAACACTGGTAAAAATTACTGCGTTCACCGGGATCGAAGTCCTGTCACTGACCTTGAAAGATCATTAGAACATTTTGAGATGGTGCGAAGGCCTAAAATACTCACCTTGCTAAGCATACGCCAGCCAGGGAGTCCCCGATCTCTTGCAAACGCCCAGCAGACTCGTGACACAGATGCCGAAAGCCCAACGCCGCAAGCGATCACCATGATAACGACTATAGACAGCATAACTGCCGCTCCAGTCCTCGACTGGACTGCACGATGGAAAATTGCGACGAACGGGAACGCTGGGCTTTCCTCGAGGACAGCATCCAAGTCGCCCATACGCAACAGAACCGCAATAATCATTACTAGGCCCATGGATCCATTGATCAAAACACCGGCCATGAGCGACCGAGGAACAATTACTTGAGCATTCCGAATCTCTTCCGACAGCTAAACTCGTCAGTAAGTCCATAGGAGCATTCAATTCCAGTCTCGATCATGCTCACATGAATTGGGCCATCACCACCTGGAAACCTCATTAGCAAAAGCAACACGTATGCTAGTCAAAGTGAAACTATACCAGCAAACGCAAAAACGCTCCCCATGAGTCCAATGCAGAAAGACAGTCCTTGTGAGCTCCAACCACCAAGATTGGCAAACGTAGTAAAGATCTCCTTTGCATCACCCTGAGGACCAAGCACAAGGATTGGTATCAAGATGGCGAAAAATCCAACGAGATGAAGAATCAAAAGTCCGCCTTCGAATTTCGGTAGTAACCAACCTGCCGCAACGTTGATGAAAACCGAAAATGCAACGACAGCCCAGTAGAGAAGTAGAATGTGCCAGTCGTGGGGTGTGTAGGTATCGGGATTGCAGAGCGTAATGAGAGCCTGGATCTGGCCACCTGTGAGGAAACTCCCGGATCCATAGGCAGCTAGCCAACCACACAATGTAAGCCATCCTACATGGAACTTTTTAGTGGACTTGAATCGCGTCTTTCTGTGAGCAGGATTTCTCACCGGAGATATAGCTAAGCAATTTTTGTGAACTTTTCGGGGCCAACATGGACACCCAGTGATATTGCCCACCGGAGGTTGGTGCTCTGGGTAATTTTATGATCAGCGATAGAAAGGCATTGTATTAAAGTTTACTTACAGAGACACCAGTTCTGACATCACGGCGAACGTAGAGATGGTACCAGTCCAGACAATAATGTATCCGTAAATGACGCCTGCTGGACCACCACTTGGATTGTTTATCAGTCGTGCTTGTACCTGATTAACGGAAACACTCACTTTTGCAGTCCAATGAGGAACAATCTGAAGAGCTGTCAGCGAATGGATGAATACCTGAGAGTGCTGACTTACCCTAGTGAGGCCTCCCACGTAATCAAGACGGTGCAACTGTAGCCCAGTAGAGAAAGAAAGCCAAATCGCCGCTGGATTTAGCTATCAGTCACGGCCTCAATACAAGATCGGTATAGACAAACTTTAAGAACTGCCTTCTTTCCCAATTTCGCAAGAGCCAAATTATCCCGTGCATCGCCAGTGGGAGTCGAAATGGCCGTCAACTCAACGCCACCACTCCCTTTGGTAAGGGAAATCGCCATTTTGAACAGCCCCCAGATATGAACGCAAAGAATGAATAAACAATTCCTGCTGATTGCAGAAAAATAGGGTTGAGAATGGAAAAAGTGTTAAGAACATATTTATCCCCAGGATTCAAGGTCGGACGGATGTCCACTGGCGTGAACTGGGTGGGTAGGGCAGCCTCCGCGGCATACACTCAAATTACACGAGCGCGGGTTTGTCTCAAACCATCAGGAGGAGCGGAAGGATTGGAGGGATCAAATTCAGGCAAAACATTACACCTGCTCAAACCACTCAAGTACATATGCCGGGGTCGTGCCACATGCAGGGGTTTCCTGTGGTATGATCTACAAGACGCCCGCGCCGCAATAGTTGAACCACCGCCATGTTGGCCAGCTCATATCCGATATCACTGCACCGTGGGATGATTGGGGTAGAACCTGATTGTGCGACCCGCGCAGAAAATCTTGGCTAGATTTACACTAGAGTGGTTCCACCACGCTGATGCGATGTTCTTTGGGAGATTGAGCTTCCGCGGATGCGGTTCCAATAGCCCAGCTTTTCGACGCGTTGATGGCCTGTCCGGGTGTAGAGCGAGAGACCTCCATTAGATGGTATTCTCTGCTTTTATTCCTTGATGTATGCAATCCTTGCCTACGCAAATCATTGACACCAAGGAAACCCGTGTCGAACCCTTCCAGAAATAATTTGGTATATGGTAGAGACGTCGTCAATACAGCGAGGCATTGAACAATTTGGTTGCAGATGGTTGACCGCCAGTACCCGAGTGTCAGGTCGTCCTTCAAAGTAGCATTCGAGCTCTCCTTGCGGAAGATCATCAATTGGATAGCCGCAGCGACGACGACACTGAACATTCTGTCAGTTGAGAAAAAAGCATTGGCGGGACGCGATGAACCTACACCAAACGACATGCGAATAGTGACATGATTCCCGCCTTGCGTCTTCGGGTTGTTTGGAGCTTGGCCGTTATGCCAAGTTCGAGCAACACAATCGCAGCGTCTGTTGTCATGTTAAGTATCGATAGGACATTCCACCAGAAAATCTCATCAAAGTCAGCATCTTCCTCCGTCATCGTTCTTGGGGCAACTCACACGGTCGATACAATGACCGCGGGCTCTATTCCACGGATCTGGTAGTCGACATTGACAGGCTGCTACGATCGATGAGCACAAAGTCCATGTAGCCGCCAGGGCTCCAACGCCAAAATTGATCTTTCTGTGCGTTTCCGACACTGTCAAATAGTGAATGAAGGACACGATTGCGAGTTTTGAACAACCAAGTGACCAGAAGAACAGGATTGTCGCTGCGTAGTCGCTCTTGATGGCGTCAGTACATATTATCCTTGGAACTCAAAGGCATACCTTGAGATTTGCCTGCACGTCTTCATTTCTCAAAGTCGACATCGGTTTTCCAAATCCATGCTGACACTGCAACGTAACTGCAATGGACTGTGCGATACAAAGAATCTATGAGATAGATTAATTGCAAAGCACGGCACTGGCACATGGACCATGGGGACATACCAAAGAACATAGTACCAGCCAGGACTCTATCTTTAGCCTTCTAAAGATGTACAGCTTGATACTGGCGTGTGTAAGAAACGCAAGGACACTGATCACCAGTGAAAGCCAGGTCAAGATTTGGACAACCGGCGTGCGATTTGAATCAGACAAGACGACTTGGTCCACCATTGTCACCATTTAGAAGATGAAATCTCAGAAAATTTAATGCAAATCTGTAGCAATCGCGAACATGGCCATGTTGTATGCCTTCTAGCCAAGAGACAAGCAGTGCCTCACTGCAGTAATCACCCGGCCGACTTGGTTCTCAAGCCGCCTCACAACGTTGAATCCAACATCAACAGGAGATGATGACTGGGAACGTGCATATTGCATGTCAGGAAATTCTTTGGCATGTTGGAGGATCGAATGGGGCGTAATATGATATGTCGGTTGGACTGGAATGTGGCGTTCACTGACTCGGAGACGGGCGGGGGAAAGCAGGATCGTTCCATCCCGCAGCCCAGAACCTAACCGAAGCAGCCACACGGCACGGTAGGCAGACGAACGGCACGACAAACAACGGTACGGCTTCAGATTTGTAGCCATAAGGGTGATTTCTGAATAACACAGGTAGTGAAATGTATATCGTCTTACCGTGGAACAGCTGCCATCGACTTCAAAAAACTCCAAGATCTCATCATGAGCATCCTCGAGAAATACATATACACAAGCTGTCAATTTGCTAAAATACCCAAGAGATATAACTGACTTTTAACATTAAACCCTTTCTCGACCACACTCCCTGCAACGGAAGACTGCTCCGCCATGACCGAGATAAAAAAGCGGGGCGCCCGTGGACCCGCCCAGACCGAACTCCTGGTGAGAAAACTGGGCCAGCTCCCGTCATCGTGGTAGCAACGGGAAATCAAAACGCAAAGCATACGCAACTGCACGATTCATCAGCCTTGCCATGGCCAAAGAAAAACCATGGCTTTTAACGTGAGTTCCATGACGCGGGACGAATGTGAAGTATGTAGCATAATGGCAGTGTTGGTTTTTGAGTATTCGGTTCCTTGATCAGATGTCATCCGATGGTCACGCACATATCTTGCATGTACAGTTATTTCCCTCGTCAACTGGCAGGGCAAGGTGCCTACCATATCGCATGTGGTAATGACAATCCCATTTCTGCATCCGAAGCGTGAATATACACGCCATGCATTGCACGCATCCATCAGCCAAATCCCCAATCTATCCGTCGTCCCACTTTGGTTCATAGGTATCTCTTTCTCTGGTGGCGCCCAGAAGTCTGTAGACCCTTGTGCGTGGCTTGTTGCTTCCCGGTTCTAGACTGGGCCATATTTTGTTAAGATTCGGGTGCCAAATAATTACTACATACCACTTATGCGTATTCTCGCCCCCAATATCGATCGCGTCAAGAGTATTGCGTTGCATGTCAATACTGAGTTGAGGGGCTTTCTGAATTTGGTCATTCCTTCAATTCTTTTGCCGCTCGAGTATCTGCATGAAATGGCACTTCTACGTTGCAGTTCACTTATATGATAGGAGTTACAGTTTTGCCCTCTTGCTGGGTTGAATCTGGTTGGGTAGACATGCGAGCGAAGGAAGTATTATGAAATTCTTGACTTTCAGTGTAGGCTTTAAATAGCTTTACTGCAAGGTTCTAGGATGGGAAAACAGCGGTGTAGCTTCCATGTTCCTGGTTCTCAACTTGCGGAAAATCCATGCTCGTGGAGTAGATACACGTATCTGTTCATGTAGGAGTGGCGATGCGAGGGTAAACCTATGTACTTTAGGTGACAAAATGCCGTCTCCGACTCGTAATGACTGTAATCCTGCATGGTCCACAGGCTCGCAAGTGTGACCTACAATGCAGCACGTAACAAAAAAGTCATCATTGAACACAGAACGTAGGGTGATGCGAACGACTCCGTCGTTACGAATAGACTTAGATTATCCAGTCGTCCTACGGATTGATTGATTAATTGATCTATTTAACGCCTACTATAAGTCATCCTACGGACAAGAAACGAAGGGCCACTAATCGGTGGCACAACACCACCCCCGCCCCTCGACTTACGTCTAGCACCTCCACGACGTAATAGCCTGTTCGTAATCGGTGATGGTTTCGTCTTCAGGAATGGGAAGGCCAAAGTTGTATACGTAACTCTTGGTGATGCCAGAGTCGTTACCGTACTGGTTGCACTGAAGGTCCCTATAATGACTCAAGTCAGCAATTTGTATTTCTTACACCTTGAAAGACACGTATTGGCGTTTCAGGCAGAACCGAAATTGGGAGGGGGTAGCGTACTTGTAGAACATGCATTGGCCGCCAGTGTTCGAGGCCAAAGAGAAAACTTTATCGTTGAAGCGATCACTGACTGCGGTTGAGTTCCATGGCTGGTAACTCCACCAAGAGACTTTTTCTCTCGTTAGTCTTGGGAACCTGTGTTGGAACAGCTCGTGCTTGGAATTGGATACGTACCACAACTTCCTGGAGAAGAACCGAAAACTAGGCAGTCACCACGGAAGCCCTAGGTTGTTTAGCTGCTGGTGTAAAACACCTGGTGGAAGTGAGTGGCGTTGACTTACTGGAAGGGTACACATAAGCGTGTAAAGCTGGTCAGGCGTGACGTAGGTTTGATTGATTGGATCAACATTGTCATGCCTACGCTGAACTTTTTCATAATGGGGGTTTACAGTCTCGGAGTGGAGAAAGCTGGCGTAGGCGGCCGAGTTAATGACGGCATTGGAGAGAGGTGGGGTCCATCCGTTTTCCTTGAGCGGCTCGATCGGCGGCAAGAAAGACACGACGCCTGTAGCAAGGGTTGCCGCGAGGACAATTGAGTTGAGGAACTTCATGGTGAGTAGCTGAGTAGTGTCGAGGAGTAAGTGCAAGACTGAATGAGCGACTGGGTATGTACGAGCTAGGTGTGAGGCTTAGATGCAGCAGGAGAACGGCGGTCTTTATATTGTAAGCACTCGTATCATTCCTCGGATGTCCATGCAAGTTGGCTCTGGGCTCATGGCTTCATACCGCCGAAAAGACTCGGTACAATATGCAAAGTAGCCCCGTTCAAGGTCACCTACTTGCATTCGATGCTTGAGCTGGTTTGCTGGCAGTTAGCTCCCCGCTCTGTTGCTCGACCAAGTCTGAGCTAGCGTTATAATCTCGATCGATGTCGTAGTACCTGATCCTGAATTGCCTTTGATTGGGAGGTCAGGCCGATGGCTGTATACACATCGTTGACTATTCTGTGGGTCGGTCAGCTTCGCACGTTGATATCGGGCCGTGCTGAGCACATCTGTCAGGGACAAGCCTGACCTCGCAAGCACAGAGACATGAACAAAGTTCTACTTTGTGTAGTAATTGTGCACCATATTCAGGGGCATGTAGACTACAGGGAGTGGACTTGCATTGAGAAAGGGCGTAATAAACTATGCGCACTCCTACACAGTATGATATCCTACCAACCCTCTGACCCCAATTCCACACCTACCGGTGCCGGTAAATCCCAACATCATTATGATCAACGAAACAGCATCCCGCATCATATCAGATTCTCGCCATAATGGCCCCTCACGAGGGCGCAGTTCATATGACCATGGAATTAGCGCTGCGTGAACTCGTATTCGGCATAGGGTTAGGCCGTGCCAAGCTCCACTAGCTAGCTAAGCGAGGTTAACCAAACATTATACCGTAAGATTTTGCAACGCGTTCTAAACCTATTCTAAACACATTCTATACTAGTAACACCACAAGCTACCACTGCTATGCCTGTTACTAACGTATCCCTCTTATCCTATATAAGCAGATTAAAACGTGTTTAGAATGTGTTCTTAACAGGTTATAGAAGCACTATTAATAGTACCTTGCCCTTAGCCGCGTCCTAGATAATATTAGGGCATGGCCTATGGTTAGCCCTAATAGGGTAGTTAAGATAGAGAGTAGAGAGCGCTACTACTATGCTAAGATTAATAACAAGGGCACCTTGTGCAGAGTAAGAACAGGTTCTAAACGTGTTCTAAACAGGTTCTAACATTCTTAGGCTATTCTAGGTACTAGGGGCACTCTGTGTACCTATGCTAAAAAAGATTATAGGCTTAACATAGCCTACTATAAGGTTAGTAGGGTTAAGAAGACTAGCTAGCCCTCTATAACAGAGGTCTACAAGGCAAAGAGTAAATATATTATTAACCTATTCTTAACTTATTATACTAATATATATAGACTTCTATATAAAGGTTATACACAATTACTAGAACACTCCTTGCTATAAGTTATTTAGAATATATTTAAAACTTATTACTAATATATTTTATAGAAGTTCTCTAAGCCTAGCTAGCAGCTGCTATAGGCCCCCCTGTAAATGCTAATACCCTCCTAAATATAATTTAGAAGAAGACTTGTAGTAGCTATAATAGTAATAAGGTACAGCCTGCAAGAACCTATTAAAAACACGTTACTAACTTGTTATAGCTTAACTTTATTGCTATATCTACCCTACTAAGGATTTAAGGTTATTAGGTTCCTTATGCTATCTACGCTTATAATTATCCTAGCTATAGTAAGTTATTTATAATATATTGTTAACCTATTCCTAATATATTTTAAGACTGTTACTTTAATACTAGTGTAGACCTTGCTAATTCCTGCTAGAATGCCGCCTAGTTCCACTTGCAGTATGCTTTTGTAGAGCCTAGGGAGGATAGGGAGGATAGAGAAGATACTAGAGAGGGGGAGGGAGATAATAATAGCAATAAGTAGGAACACGTTAAGAACGTGTTAAGAATAGGTTCTAATAAACAATATACAATAGCACATAACCTAAAGGGGTAGTAGTAATTACTAAAATAAACTCTCTACTCTTCTCTTTTTTTTTCTATCTACTAAAAGTAAAGTACTATTTACTTTTATAGGGTCCTTTAATAGTACATAACTTTTTCTTTTAACTTTTATAGGTATTATAAAGCTCTAGTAGTCCCTTAGATTAAAGAAGAATCTAGCATTTATAGGTATCTAGCTATAACATATTATTAATATATTCCAAACGTGTTTTAAGAGACTAGACTTATATCTCCTTTTTGCTACTTTCGCTAAATATTATTTATAGTGTAAAGGGGAGCAACTATTTGCTCCTCTTCTTCACTCTCTACTTTCTCTTTAGCCTCTACTCTAGCTACTACTTCTTGTTATAGACTAGCTATCTTAGAGGGTTCTTAAACCTTAGAGGAGGCACTTAGTGTAGTCTGCTCTACTAGCAGAGAACGTATTATTAACGTGTTTAGAACACGTTCTTAAGCATTCACTATTAAGCTCCTATAGAAGATCCTTGCTTCTATAATGCCTTGTATTATGGTTCTACTATAGTTTACTAGGGCTATTTAAACCTTAGGATAATACCTCTTAAGGTAGTAGATAAGATTACCTCTATTAGAGAAGTAATACTAAAATAGTTATTAACATGTTATAAACGTGTTCTAACTCGCATGTATACATACTCCTACAAAGTTCCTGTACCCCTAATCTAGCCTAAATAGCCTAGTAGAAAAGCTTGCTAGGAAATACTATACACCTATTATTTAGGTAGGATATTACAGGAGAGAATACCCTAGTATTAGATAGAAGTAACTTAAGCTTAATATATCGCTAGTATAAATCCTACTTAGTATTAGAACAAGTTCACAACGTGTTCCTAACGCGTTCTATTATATACTAACTTTAAAAGATCTTTGTGGACTATATTAACTAGTTATATCTAATAATATTAGGAAAGATAGATAGTAAAATAGTATTAAACTCTTAAATATAAAAAGTTCTTGTAGAGTGTAAGAAGAAAGAAGAAGAAAGAGAAGAAGAAAGAATATATATTTATCCACTTATATGTGCTTACGTAATAGACTAGAATATATTAAGAACTAGTTAGGAACTAGTTACTATATTTATAGACTAACCCTACCTTATATAAAAAGTAGCTATCTCTTTCTTAAGTTTAAACTATGCCTTTTGCAATTCAAATAGTGCCTTTTTCTATGCAAGTTCTTCCTTATCTACCTCTAGCTTTTCTTTTCTCTCCTTTAGAGCCTAATTACTAAGAAGAGCCTTTTATTATAAAGTTTATAGTTATAGACTAATAATAAGTTAGGAACGTGTTGTAAACGTGTTTTGCAAAGCATACCTTTAGGTTGCTATTAGTAGAGGAGAAGAGCCTAGTAGTAGAGAAGATAGAAAAGGGGCTAGTAAACTTCTTTCTAATACCGCTCTACTACTTGCCCTCTAGCTTTAGGCTTTTAAGCGTGCTCTTTTATTTCTTATTAGGACTAAGATATATCTAGTTAAGTTAGATATAGCAAGACTTGCTTTATTGTTATTTAGAGTGTTATTATTGTTATAGGACGCGTTCTAAACACGTTCTAAACACGTTTTAATTAGTAAATATATATAACGCTAGCGTAAGACTTACTTTCTCCCCTCTAAAGCTTTTTAAGGTACCTTTACTTAAGCCTATTAGGAGTTCTATAGTTATAGCGTATTCTAAACTTGCTCTAGGCTTTAAACTCTTTTATATCCTATAGATCTATCTAGTGTGCACTACATAATGTTACTTATACAATTCTAATAGGTTAAGAATAGGTTGTAAACTTACTTCTAAGTGGCCTTAAGAATACTTACATGCTTACTAGTTTTATATCCTTTCTAGCCTACTTACTTAGCTACATTTAAATAAGATTCTAGTTTTTCCTATACCTCTTTTAATATTTTACTATAGTATTACATAATCCTAGTAGTAATTACTAGGTTTTTCTTATAGATTGCCTAGTTTTAGGTATCTTTAGAGGGTTCGTGTTCTAATTATATAAGAACAAGTTAGGAACACGTTTAGAACAGGTTTAGAATATGTTTACTTACGTAAGAGGAGGTTAGCAAGCTAAAAGTATTCCTCTACTATTAATGCCTGTAGTAATTCACTTAGATATAAAGAGGTAGTATTATCTAGCTCTCTTTTACATGCTTTATAAATACTTCTTTATAGATATACTTAACAAAATCTTATACAAGATTAAAGTTGCTAGCGCTAGTCACACTTATAGGGATTAATTAACTAGAGATAGCGCCCAAGTCCTAGAAATAAGTTAGAAACACGTTACAAACATATTACAGTGCGCTGTAAAACTTGCCTATTATCTGCTTATTATACATGTTAATAGTAGTCCTATAGAATCCCTATAAGTAAATATACCTCTATAACACTTATCTTTTTATAAGTGCTTCACACTTCTAAAAGAAGTTAGTAATAGCAACTTAATACATCTTAGTTATGTCCTTATCTATAATAATTTAGCTAAGTGTAATAACTACAACGTGTTAGAAACGTGTTATAAACCTGTTCTTAATACGTACGCTTCTTTTCCTGCAGGTAGAAGATTACTATTAGAATCTCTGCCTATGCCCTATACAACCTCTTATATAACATATCTATCTAGAATATGTCTTAATCTAATAGAATTAATACCTACTCTTTAAAAAGGTAAATAATTAAGTTACTAGAGCTTAATGTGAAGATTTGCTATATATACGCCTGTAGTAACGTGTTAGCAACGTGTTCTAAACCTGTTCTCTTACACCACGTATAGTTTTAGGATCCTAATGCTTTATCCTCTACTTATAGTGTACTCCTCTAAGGCTACTCTTAAATAGGAACTATAGAAGCTTTTCACGCTTTATAATATGTAAGATTTTATCTTTATTTGCAAAGCTAATATACATTTCTTTAATAGAATAGAAACCTTTAAGTTAGAGATAGGTTTAGAGCTAGGTTAAGTTTAGGAACTAGGCTGTAACAAGTTAGGAATACGTTTGTAACAGGTTGTAAACAACTTATATTACGTAAGCTGCAGAGTAAGCATAGGCTACAACACCTTTACTACTTCCTTAATATTACTATTAGATAGTGTTAAGGGAGGAGGAGGTATATATGTATGTATACTAAAAGAAATAATAGCAAAAAAAGGTATTACTACTATATCTATTAGTATAATTACTTAGAAGGTAACTTTACACAGGATTTTAAATAGAGATCCTTGCCCTTATAGATAATTAACGCCTAGAACATGTTAGGAACGTGTTAGGAATAGGTTGCAATATGCCTACCACACTTCTTTATCTAGCTTAACTATAGCTTAACCACAGAATATAAAGCAGGACTACTAGAAAGATTTAATATCTCCCTAGTTAGAAGACCTTGTAGATATGTGGAGTCTACCTCTAGTAGTACCTAACTAAAATAATGTTTTTTCCTAGTAGTAGATATTAGGCTGTAGTTCTAATAGCTAATATATAGTTAAGCCTATTCTATAATTTGCTAACTTATTATTAACACGTTTTAAACATGTTTAAGTTTCGCTCCCTACCTAATTTACTGCAGTCCTTATTACAGGACAATAAGACACCTAGTAGTCCTTACAAATCCTTAAAGAGAAGCGCTTAATAAGGCTATAATAATAGCTTCTTGTTTATAGTTCTCTTTATAGAATTTTCTTAGGTACTACACTTTTTAAGGTTTAGATCTAATTATATAATACGTTATTAACAACGTAATAAGAACACGTTTATAACATGTTCTTAAGATACTTACACGCTTTTACCCTAGAGCATTAGTATTTATACTAGCTTGCTAGCTAGCTATTAAAGAATAGTAAAGTTATAGGCCTATTAAGATAGATAGACTAGCAGGAGTATTATACCTGCTAGAATTAGAACAATTTAAGAACGTGTTCTTAACATGTTACCTATATAGCCTGTATAAGCACCTCTTCTCTTATTAGGTAAGAGCTATCTTTATATTGCTAAACTAGTATTATATACCTATACCCTTAGCTATATAATTAAGGGTATACTAGGAGAATAGCTGCATGCTTAATAATTGCTAGTGTAAGTAGTAGTCCTTAACTATTACTATAAGTAAGGTATATATTATGCCCCTATAACGTGTTACTAACCTATTCTAAACTTGTTCTATTTACTTTTACTTACTTCCTTAACGCTACTACTACTATCCTCCTCTAGCACTTTATACAGTTGCCTAAATTTATCTCTAATATTACTATCTAGTTTAGATACGTTATCTAGTACTACTATACTAAACTCTAGTATAGTATTTAGGAACGCCTGCATATTATTAAGAATAGGTTTAGAACATGTTTAAAAAAGATAGTAACAAAAACTGCGTTTACTTGCTTAAATTACCCTAATTTATACTTAACTATAGGCTAGTTTATATAACTATAAAAATTTGCCGCTGTGACGTGGACTTGAACCTATAGGGATATTCTAACCACTCGGAGTAAAGCCCAAGTCGCCCGACGCTAAACCCATGGTCATATGACATGCCACCACGCCCCTCACCGTCCCGCCAAGAAGACAAAACGAAGCGAATAACAACCCTCAGTCTAGGAGCATGGGCACTGTAGTTCGCTATCTCATGTGGTACCTACCTCCTTAGTGCTTACTAGCCCACCCAGTCGTACCGAGCACGCACCGCAACACGCCTCAACGGGTGCAGATCATGTATACCCGGCAAGCCATCTCCTTACCCAACTAGGCCTGATTTACACCCCATCCTTACCAGCCCCAGAATCGCATGTTGGGAAATTGCGCTTGCGTGGATTGAGGAGGCCATTTGGGCTACTAATAGGACCTTTTGCACGCCGGCCAAAGTGTTATACATGGTACTCTTGTCTATAGGATCGACGTCTGGCTCTGCTTACTGCATGTGAATAGACTGGTACCTGAGAGATGTTGGGGGACCGACAGTGTACCACACCGTAATACGCCTAATAGAAGGACCGCTGCAGAGAGTTTTCTGCAGGATAAACAGTACCATACCAAGTCTGTACTGTCAAAATCCAAACACGAATCCAATTCCCACCTCAAAAGTAGACGGATTGCGATGACCACTCTGCCCAAATTCTATTTATGTCGCGCCATTCTATCTCAGACTCTCGTCCGAAACCAACGTCCCTTAAATTTGCGCATCCCACATCTGCGGGTCATGTACTTGCAGCACGTGGGTCGCGTCAGCCCTACAAGACATGGCGCGCGAAAGTATATCTTACGTACCATGTTGGTGCTCATTCAGTACCGTGGCTAATTTAGACAATGTAGACTTACACGAACAGACGGATTAGTGCTCCTTAGCACTACCGGTACAACCATCCAATTACCAGTCCTATTATAGCTACACCCAACATCGTCCGCCCTCGCTATAAACCCACCAGCCCTTGAATTACGCCTCGCTTGCCTTGCCTAGATATCCCAAGCACAACAAATCCGCAGACACTATATTACCTCACCCAACCAGGCAAGCCTAGCCAACAAGCCCGTAGTCCCTATCCTATACCACGCTGACGGAAACTACAAACTCCCGCTGCAACAACAGACAGCCCTGGAATCTCTAAAACGGACCATGATTCAAAGGATCTAGGTAAGCAGAGTGATTGCGCAGACACTACGATATAGTGCCTAGTCGTAGGCTATCTAGCACCGTCGCACGTACGCCGCGATACCTTCAAACGCCATGGACTTCGATAGCGCCAAGCAAATGACCTGGTTTATTAAACTCCCCCCAAGCACCGCACAGAAACCCAAGCAGCCCTACTCACCATCACCACTACCTACCAGCCATCACCTAAACCCCCTGACCTCCACCTTAGCCCCCAACACCGCATAAAAACACAACCATCAGCTCTCTCTGCAACCCCAACAATTCGCCAGAAAAACAAAACGCTCCCTGTTTTTAAGAAAAAAAAAAGGCCGATTGCTATTCCTACTCCTATTCCTACCCCCATTCTGTTTACGAGCACGTTGCTATTTGGTAGTTGGAGATGTGGCGATAATACCATCTTGTAGATGTTCTGTAGGGATGAGTTTGCGGAAGCCGTTGTATGACTGTATTACTTGAGGGGAGAGGATGGGGATTTTTTGTACATGTGTCTGAGTTTGTGGGTGTGCGGCGGGGATGTATACTCCTCTCTTTTCTCTTTGCGCTCTCCGCTCTCCCCCTACCCTACCCTACCCTACCCTACCCTACCCTACCCTACCCTACCCTACCCCATCTCATCTCAGCTCCCTTGAAAAAGAAAGCACATCTATATTCTACACCACCCCATCCAACACCCAAACACCAACACCAACACCCAACACTCCTCACACCCCTAAAACCCAAACCACCCCTCCCACCCCCCAAGTTTTTCAAATTTCTATAAAAACCAAGAAAGAAAGAAAGAAAGAAAGACTAGTTTACATCCAAACATTCAAAAACCAAACACCAGCTCCATGAACCCCATCCGCACCAGAAAACAAAAACAAAAACAAAAACAGTGCAATATACAAGACATGATGACAAGACAAATACTTCACATTTCAAATCTTCACATTTACATTCTCACCCCCCCCCCAAAACCCCAAATTATCTAGCCAAACCATCATGGGTAAAGCGTAACCCATAAACCACAACTTATCCACAATCTCCCATAAACATCTTCATAACCCATTTACAGGCTCCCACAATCTCTCATCATCTCTCATCGGCATAAACATCATCTTTATTATCGTCATAATCATACTCATCGTCATCAAATCAACAACCACAAAAGCGGCTTAAAAAAACCAGAAACAAGGAATAAAACCCCTAAACCAAACTACCCCTCTACCTCCCTCTTCCATTCTCCCTTGCCCTCCTCTCTCTCTCCCCACACAGACACAGACACACAAACACACACTCTCTTCTCAGCAAAGGGGTATAATGCAATCGTTTCCAAACCCAACCCATCCTCGTCTCTCGTCCCTCGACCAACGACATCAACGACATGACGACATGACTCATGCACAAGAAATAAGCCCATTCCCTCATTTCTTGCCCTTCTTCTTCTTATTCTTCTTGCCGCCATTCGTCGTAGGGCTCTTTTCCGCCTCGTCCGTCTTCTCGGCTAGGCTCTCGACCGAGTCTCCAAGGTTCTCGCCCTCCTCCGTCTTCTCCTCGTCGTCCTTGGCTGCCTCTTCCGTCTTTGCCTCGACGGCTGCGACCTCGACCTTGGCCTCTTCCTCGACCTGTACGGCCTCGGCAGTCTTCTCCTCGGCTTCTTTGGTGGCTTCTTGACCTGCCTTGAGTTTCTCCATGATGCTCGCGTTCAGCGTCTTCAACTGCTCCTGCTCAGACTTTGCCGTCTCGAGTTGGCTCTTGAGCTCCTCAAGGGATCCTTTGGCTTCGTCGCGGTCCTGCTTCAGAGTCGTGAATTCTTCCTCCAGGGTAGCAATCTTGCCCTTTTGCTCTGCAAGTGCGGCCTCGGCCTCAGCAAGCTTGGCATCAGATTCAGATTTTGAAGCTTCCAGGGCCTTTAGGTCCTCAGCAGCCTTGTTCGATTCTTCGAGCTTGGCCTGGAGAGCAGTGAGCTCAGCATCCTTGGCGTCCTTTTCCTTGGTAGCAGTCTCGACGCTGGACGTGAGTTCTGTAATCTTGGCGTCCAGTTCGGCTTTTTCGGTGGCGGTCTTTTCGGCAGAGGCCTTGAGCTCAGCGAGTTCAGATTCCAGGGTCTCGGCTTTGCTGCCTGTCTCCTTCGCAGCCTGGAGCTCGGTGTCGAGAGCTTCCTTGGCCTTTTGTGCTTCAGCGAGTTCGGATTGAGCGGTGGTGAGGCTGGTCTTGGTCTCCTCGTGGGAGGCCTCAGCCTGCTTCAGGGCATCGTCGTGAGCCGCCTTGGCAGCCTCGAGGTCAGCATTTGCCTTCTCAAGCTGGGTTTGAAGCTCGGCAGCCTTGTCCGAGTCTGCCTTTGCAGCTGCGAGATCCTTTTCAACAGCAGCCTGGGCCGTCTTGAGCTCCTCCTCATGAGCAGCCTGGGCACTGTTCTGCTCAGCGGTAAGCTTCTCGATCTGGCTTTCGAGCTCGGTGATCTTGGCAGAGTGTTCAGATGAAGCCTTGTTGGCAGCCTCAAGTTGCTCCTTGGCCTCGGCTTCCGACTTCTGGACTTCAGCAAGCGCAGACTCAGCAGCAGTCTTTGCCTCCTCTGCAGCCTTGAGGGACTCCTCCTTGGCAGCAACATCCTTCTCAAGAGCAGCAACCTTGTCGGTTGCCTTGCTGCTAGAAGATTTGGCAGCTTCGAGCGCCTCAGCATGTTCAGCCTCCTTGGCCTCGATTTTGCTGTTGGCCTCCTTGAGGGCAGCCTCCAACTCAGCGACCTTGGCAGCCTCAGCCTTGGCATCAGCCAACTCCTTCTCGAGCGAGCCCTTGGTAGACTCAGTAGCCTGCTGAGCCTCAGCGAGCTTCTCCTCCGATGCCTTGAGCGATGCCTCGAGCTCAGCAATCTTAGCGGCCGACTCATCAGCGCTACCCTTGGCACTCTCGCTGGCCTTGTTGGCCTCTGCGAGATCGGTTTCGACCTTGGTAAGCCTGCTTTGGAGCTCCTCAGCCTCGGATTTGGCGGATTCAGAAGTTTTGGCGGCATCCTCTTTTGCGGCAGAAGCCTCCTTCTGCGCAGCCTCAAGTTCGGTCTCCTTTGCTGCCAGAGCATCCTTGGCCTCCTGCAGGGAGGCTTCCAGTTCAGTGACCTTGCCAGATTCACCCTTGGCTGCAGCAAGCTCCTCCTCCTTTGCGGCCAAGCTTTCCTGAGCCTCTTTGAGCGACGCCTCAAGCTCAGTAATCTTCGAGCTCGACAACTCGGTGGTCTTGTGGACGTCGCCCTTGGCAAGCTCCAGTTCAGACTCCTTTGAAGCGAGGCTGTCCTTGGCCTCCTTGAGAGATGCCTCGAGCTCGTCCACAGTCTTCTGAAGACCCTCTGATTCACCCTTGGCAGATTCAACAGCCTTGCTTGCCTCAGCCTTGGCAGCATCAAGCTCAGTCTCCTTGGTGGCGAGGGCATCTTGGGCCTCCCTGAGGGATGCCTCCAACTCCATCACCTTTGCGTTGGAAGACTCGGCAGTCTTGCTGACATCGCCCTTTGCGGCCTCCAACTCAGACTCCAGCTTGGACACCTGAGCACGAAGAGCTTCCGTCTCCTCCTTTGCGGCGTCTGACGACTTGCTAACATCGGCCTTGGCGCTCTCGAGCTCAGCCTCCAGCTTGGAAATGGTGCTGCGAAGACCGTCGGCTTCCTCCTTGGCAGAGGTGGAAGAGGTTGTCACCTCGCCCTTTGCGGCCTCGAGATCAGCCTCAAGTTTGGAGATGGTGCTGCGAAGAGTCTCAGCCTCCTCCTTGGCGCTGGTGAGCTCAGCATCCTTCGCTGCCAAAGCGTCTTCAGACGCCTTCAACAAAGTCTCAAGTTCGCTGATCTTGGCGGTGAGGGCATCAGCATTGCTCTTGGCTTCTTGGGCAGCCGCAGTGGTGGACTCGAGCTCAGACGTCTTCGCAGCCAGATCCTCCTCCGCCTTCTTCAACGAAGCCTCAGCGGTGGAGAGCTTGGTAGCCAGCTCACTGGCGTCGCCCTTGGACACCTCGACATCGCTGAGCTTGGTCTGGAGTTGGCTGATCTCCGCCTTGAGAGCATCGACCTCGCCGCTGGTAGACTCCTTGAGCTTGGCGACCTCCTCAGTGGCAGCAGCATGCTCGTCCGACTTGGACTTGAGCTCCGCCTCGCGAGATGCCAGCGTGTCCTTGTGTTCTTGGAGCGAAGCCTCCAAGTCGCTAATGGTACCGCGAAGGCCACCGACCTCCTCGGAGAGCTTGCTATGTTTGGCGGCGACGTCGTCGTGCTTGGACTGCAAGTCCTGAATCTCAGAGTCGTACTTGATCTGGAGGTCCTTGGACGAGGTTTTGCGCTGGTCTTGTGCCTCGACAAGCTGTGACTTGATAGTGGCAATCTCAGCTGTGAGTGCTTCAATCTTTTGGTTGGAAGCGTCACGCTCAGCCGTGATGGCGACAATGGCCTCTTGCTGTGCCTCGAGATCGCTCTTGGGCACGAGAGTGGCGTGTTGGGCCTTGAGCTCCTCCACCTCGGCGTGCGCCTTGGACAGCGACTCCTCAGCAGCCGTCTTGGAGGCACTCAGGACGTCGAGCTCCGCATTGGCCTTTTCAAGCGACTGCTCGATAGCAGCCTTCTCGTCGGCCAGCGCCTGGAGTTCGCCGCCCTTGACCTCGGCATCCGAAGAAGAAGACGCCGCCGCCGCGCCTGCCTGAGCAGACTCCAGGCTAGCAATGTGACCCTTGAGCTTCTCAATTTCCGCCTGCAAAGATTCAATCTCCTGCTGCAGAGCCGCCCTCTTTTCCTCAAACTCGGCTTCCACAAGGCTCCTCTCCTTGGCCTTGGCCTCGCGTACCTGCTGTACCACGACGCTGACCATGTGCTCCTCGAGATCCTTTTTATCCTGCTGCAGCGCCGCCTCGCGCTCCTCGAAGCCCCTCTCGCGCTCCCTGTAGTCGTCTTCGAGGGCGCGGACGTGCTCATCTTGCGAGGTGGCCACCTTTTGGGCTTCGGCCAGGTCGGCTTCGGCGTGTGCGAGTTTTTGCTTGAGCTTGCTAATCTGGACGTCGAGGGGGTCGCCGGCTTGCGGTGACGGAGGCTCGGAGGCTGGGAGACGCCGGGTTAGTAAAGAGGACGCAGGCACATAGTGCAGGCCCATGCGAGAGTGAAGTGAAAGCGGATAGTGAGGAGGGACTGCGTAGTTGTTATTGGGCAGGTGGGAGGACAAGCGAAAGTGATACATACCCGCTTCATCTTCACTCAGACGAGCTTCCCGTGGCGTCTCGGGTGGGGTGTCGATGCCGCGATCCTGGGGTACCGGGTCATCTTTGCTGGGTGCCACCACGTCGGTCGTGGTCTGCGGTGATGTGGGAGCTGGCGGTGCTGGGAGGGGCTGTGCACCACCAAAGAAGTAATTGTACGCCCTCTTCATGCTGCTTGTGCGTTTGGGAAGGCCTGGCCGGACGGAGGATGTCGATTTCCGCCCTCTTCGATCTTCCTGGGTTCCGTCGATTACGGTGACGGGCACGATATTGTCCCCGCTCTTGTTCTTGTTGCTGAGGGTCCGCGGAGGCAGCAGTCGACGGCTGAACTTCTGAGTGCCCGATTGGATATCAGCCAGAATCTGCTTCTGCTCTCTAGAATTGGACGAGCCACTGGGAGGAGGATGTTAGCCAAAAAGAAAAAGAGCCGGTTCAATGAGGTAGTCAAGGCTCATAGGCTACCGAGGCATGATGTAGCCATACCTCGATTGGCGGTCAAGAAAGAGGAGGACGAAGACGGTAAGAGAGAAGAAGAATAGCCTTCAGGTAGGGTGAGTGGTGGGGTGGGGTGGGGTTAGCGGGCCAACGAGAAGCTCTCTTACCCAAGCACAACAATGATTGCTCTACCAGTGGTGGAGGGGGCAAGCACAAACGCAAAGAAGCGGTTGCGGTGACGAGTGTCGAGCAAGACAACAAGGGCAGGTGTTGTTGTGGTAGAGGGGAAGAGGGGGAGAGGAAAAAAAAAAGAAGAGGCAGCAAAGCAGGCAAGAGGAAGACGACGGATGACGGAAGGAACTAGCACTCACTCATAGCTCTCTTTCCTCGGCCAGCTAGGCATGATTCAGATATGTGCAGATGGACTACAGTATGGCGCCAGCCCAACAAACTTCCTCTGCTCTCCAAAGCCGCTGGTACACAGTAGGTGGGCAAAAGTGGGAAACGCACACTAGTAAGCTGGGCCGCTTGGAAGAAGTGCCAACGAATGAGAGAGAAAAAATTTCCACTCGACTTTGTACGTATCTGTCGCGAGCGGTCAAGTGCACGGCACGCACACGGCGCAAAAAGTAGGCTGCGCTTCTTATGTATGGGGCGCACCAGACACGTTGGGCGTATGCAATGCAGGTAGTGCGGCCTGGTGGAGCGAGGGCTACTAGGAGAGTACAGGGTGGAAAGAGAACATGGCGGGTACCCGTACACCAGCCAGTGAGACGGGGGGGGGGGGGGGGGCCATGTCGATTGGGCGCATTTATTCATGCAAGCACAACGCAGTGCCAAAGCTCGGGCAGATGGTGGCAGGCAGATGGTGGCAGGCAGATGGCAGAGACGCCATGGCCATGAATGATGATTGATTGATGGCTGATATGGCCGATGGCTCTGAGCCTGATGGCATGACGGCGCTTGTCGGACGCGCCTGTCGCCTGTCAAGGATGGCCGCGGGTTCCACCGTGTGTTTCTTACCGCCTCGAGTGGGGCTGGGAGGCCGATGCCCAGTTGTCGAGGGCTGGTAGAGTTGAGTAGAGTACTGACGACGACGATGATGATGACGCCGATTCGGACGAGGATGAGAGAGTGTCCATCACCACAAAAGTGAGGCGTGAAAGGACTGTCCCAGCCCAATTGACACGGGACGAAGAAAAGTTCTCCCTCGCCATGCCCAGGCCTGCCATCGAGTGAAGGAATGCAGACACACGAACCTATTGCAATGGATCTTTGCCGTCAAAGGTCCCCAAACGTTCACCTTTCTTCCCCCCCAAGCTCCCAATCGGCAACGGAAGTGCGGCGTATGGAAGCTCGCAACCAATCACAGCCACGCACGTCACGCGTCGCGTGCCCCAAGCCCGAAAATCCTCACCCATGCAAGCCAAAACAACGTCAAGCAAGCAAAGCAAACTGCTCGAGATGAACCCCTCTCATCGCCCCCTCGCCCTCGCCCTCCCCTTTGCGCAATCTCTCTCCATCCCATCCAGCACAGGATATGGACGATGATGGCGCACAACACACGCACAAAACACGGGTAGCGTAGCCGGTAGCGCAAGCACGTCCTCGGCACGTCGACGTGTGACTCGCCTTGCTGCGAACGCCACCGTGCGACCTCACTGCAGGAACCATGGCTCTTGTCCTCTCTCCCATGGGATGGGCTCTACAGCATTGTAGTATACTGTTCAACATTGACAGAGTAAAAAGGAGAAGAATGTTTTCTCTCCCCTCTATACCCATACCATACACTCCATGAATCCATACCACAACATACCATAAACCCAAGACACACACAACACCCACTCTGCCGCAAAATCTCTTCACCGCCTAGAACACCCCTGTCCCTCAGTCCCAGTCCCCGCCCCGCCCTGCAGCAGGGCCAGCCCGTTGTATTTTAGCACTGGGCGTGCTCTACCCCCCGAGGTCCATAGTATCTGTACTCCCACGAACGGCACTTTTATTCCGCAAGTACAGTACTGTAGCTTCCCGTGCCCTCCGCCTCCAACAACAGCACGATATGCTAGGTATGCTAGGTACAGACCCAGTGGTCCTTTTTTTTTTAAAAAAAAAAAAAAAAAAAAAAAAAAAAAAAGTTCAAGCACAGCCACGTGCAAACACTCAAACCACAGTACTCTACCCAGCCCCCTTGTACACCAACCCAGCACATGGAATTCCCCAAACAACATCTCCTACCCCAGTCTCCAGGGGGAAAACAAAACTCCACGTGGAGTAGTCAACAAGTCCCATGCCATGTCCATCCAAAGCCTCGCGCTACACATGTGCAATACCAAGCCCACCCTGCCATTTGCATAAAACACGGGATATTGTAGCAAGCGGGATCAGGTTGTGTAGATACGTGCACGGGATCTGGAGTGTAGGCTTGCATGAGTTGTAGAGTGGTGGGTGGGTATGTAGATAAGATACACAATAGAAGGGGGAGGGATTACGTTGTGAACAATGTACGGGTACGATGAATGCGTAAACTCGTGTTTGGACGGGTACCAGTACTCCTAGGCTCATGTCTCAACGACTGACTGCTAGCCTATCCACCACCACCAAGCACACCACCAACCCCGCCACCTACCGTGCACGAATGAAGAAAAAACAGCACCCTCCCAATCCAAACACAACAACAGACCGCAAACGAAAACGAAAACGCAAACATCACACGTCAAGTACATGGGTCAAGTACATGGATACATTACACCAGACCAGCCCAGCCCAGCCCCAGCCAGATTCATCTATACCAGTCTATAAATAAGGAGACACCCACAATTCACACCGCATCCCCCACCATGCAACAATCAACCATGCAAAAACAACAAAACAATCATCTTCCCCCCCAATCAAATACCCAACTCACCCCTCCACCCCGCAACTCATCATCATCCCCAAATCCCCAACAACGCCCCTCACGCCCCTCACGCTCAAACCACACCCTCCGCCAGCCCCTCCTTTCCCACCACCCTCACTCACACCTCCTTCTCGCGCATACCACGGTGTCGAAGAGCCGAGGCGCGGTAGTGCGATGAGAGGCGGCGTGCCAAGGTACGGGGGGAGTGGAGGTGCGGATGGGGATGGGGATGGGGATGGGGGTGTATTGGAGTGGAAGGTAGAGGTGCAGTGGAAGCCAAAGTCAATGTGGACGAAAACGTCGATGTTGGTAGTGGGGTTTGTATAGGCTCGTGACGACCTTGAACTTGGGTTTGTCGTCGTTCTCGTTCTCGTTCTCGTTCTTGCTGTTGCTGTTGATGATCATCTCCACAAGGCGAAAGAGCAAGAGAAAGACGGCCAGGAGATGCAGCAGCAAGGTCTTGCAATCGAGGAGGCGGGCAAAGTACACTCCCGCAAACACCACCACGCCCAACACCATGACCCCGCTCCAACAAACCACCACGACGAGCACGAGGCTTCTTCAACTTCCGTATGCGACTTCGAAACCGGCCTAGACGAAAGCGTAACAAAACAAATCTCATCAGCTTTGCTCCATGTTCTTCATGTATCTGTGAAGGATGGAAAATGTGTGCGGATGACCCTATCCCACCAACAAAAGAAAAAGAACAGAAAAAAGGGAAAGAAAAAAGACTCTCAAGATCCGGGGCCAAACCAACCCCTATAATTCCCTTGTCCACCACCCTCACCATTCCCATTCCCTTCCTGCTGCCCAACCTCTTCCGCCGCATCAAACGTCCCAGGCATCGATCGCGTCGACCGCTGGCTCCGATCCTGCGCGCCAGACGTCTGGTCCCCCTCACGCTTAGTAATCCCCTTCCGGCAGTGCGGACAAGTATCGTGTTCGAGCAGCCAGGCCTTGACGCACTGGTGGTGAAACCAGTGCTTACATGGCAACATGGTGACTTCCTCGCCCACGCCGACATCGTCCATGCAGATACTGCACTCGGCCGTGTGTTCGGGGCCCAGCATATCCTCCGTCACCTTCTTGCGCGGGAGAGCTTCAATGTCGGATTGCGTGGCGGGCCCGGGGGCGTTGGAGCTGGCGGTTTGCTCCATGAGTTGGGAGACGATTCGGTCGAGACCTTCTTGCGAGTAGACAAAGTCGCCCATTTGGCCATTTCCGGGTGGGAGGATACCCATGGAGGAGAAGAGTTGGAAGAAAGGGTTGATTGGCATTTGGGCGGCTTCGGGGTTGTTGAGGGCGCCACCGAAAGGGTGGGCATGGACACTACCTGGGGGTGCTCCAAGGGCGGCCATGAGACCAGTCATGACGCTGTTTAACTATTAGCCGAATCTTGGTAACGGATAAGAGGTCCAGCCTACTTTGCGATATCGTCAACGGGCTCTACCCGTAGTTGTGGGTTGTTGGCATCTCGTGGGTACAGCCGTGCGCCAGTGTGAAATGTGTATCGTCCTATGCGCGGCTGGGATCCATCCGGGCCCTGATTTCTGGACTCATTGAACGCAGACTGATCGCCACGATCCTGGTCACGTTCGGATTCTGTAGACTGTCTCTGTTGTGATTCCTGCCCTTGGTCTCGTGCTTGGCCTTGTCCAGGTGATCGCGCAGCGCTACCCACCAGTCCATTCAACAGGGACATGAAGCCACCTATCGACGCAGGTCCAGCCTGGAGCCCTTGTGGAGACACATTTCGTGTAATGGTGGCTTGTAGGTTGAATCTTCCAGGGGCCGTCTGGGTAAAGTGATAATTGCTGATATCCCCCTCTTCCGGGTCATCACTCGCCCATGGGTTATGTGCGGGGTGCGAGTGGTGAGGTGCGTCAGGCATGGAATCGTTATCATCGTCGCCAAACATGACACTATCTCGTGGATCGTTGTTCTCTTCAATCTGGTCCGTATTAGCAGGTCCCGGTGCATAGTGGCATTCCCAGCTGTTGCCCGGACTGAATGCGACACTCCGCGGTATCAACTCACGATCTCGGTAAAGTCTGAGCCACACTCTGGACAGGTCAGACCACGCTCGTCTCGATACCACTCGTCGGCGCACTCGTGGCAAAACATCATATCGCGATGCGCCGGCCTCTGTGGTTGCGCTGCCGCTTGGTCGTTTGATGAGTCCATGGCTGTGGACGTGTGTGTGGCAAAAGAAAGGCGTTGAAGGGGTCTAGGCAAAAGCTGTAGGCGCTGCGTTGGTAAATGGCGACGAGTTATGGTAGGCTAATGTACCTACGATGACCGGGTCAAAGTACGTGGCGGAGCCAGGTTGTAGTCATGCGCCGAGATGCGATGACTGCTGAGCGGAGATGCGATGACTGCTGAGCGGGACAATGGTTGTTCTGCAGGTGCGTAGGCGTTTATGCGTAGGTCTGAGGAATCTAAGGAAAGCAGGTCTGAGAGTGAAAGTGTAGAGAGTGGAGATGCGTGTGTATTTAGGGCGGCGGATGGAGGAGAGGTGTCGACAGGCTGGCAGAGGCGAAGTTTTTGTTCGATGATGGCGGCTGAGTTGGCCAGGCGGTGACGTTGTTCTGGGAGGTCGCTTAGGCGTCGCAGGGCCAAACCAGGGTCCGCCGATGATGTCCCGCACCGTGTGTGATGGCAAGAGCCTAGTAGTGAAAGCGATGACCTGTGCCAGATCGCTGAGGAGGAAGACCAATACTGTGGACAAGACAAAGAATCCTCCTTTTCATACACATGGTGACCCGGCTGTTGACGAATTGGCTTGAGGCTTAGATGCAGTCAACTGTTTGTTCCGCCCGTTGGCTGTGCCTTTCTTCCGACTTCCATTGGTTTCTGCACCTAACATGAGCGAACAGTTGAGATGAGGCCATGCCGGCTCGCCCGAGAACGTCGAGACAGTGTACTACCCAGCAAATGTAGATGAACTGTCAAGGTGTAGGTGCAATATGGAGGTAAGCACCGAGGAGTGTGCTTGTGCATGCATAATTGTACATTCTCAGCCCCAAGGTATAGAGTTCCATAACGCCCATGCTTCGTTCGTTCCATCCCATCATCCATCGTGCATCCTGCATCCTGCATCGTGCATCGTGAAATCCAACCTATTCAACTATGTATAATCCCTCCTTTTCCTAGCCCTCAGGACCTCAGCATTCCTAGCAGTCCCAGCAGTTCTCAATAGTGCCCCCCTTCGCCTAGTTCTTCTTGCCCGCCCCTCTCAACAGCAGACTGCCCAAGACTCCCGCCGCAACCACGACACCCCCAACAATCGCCGCGCCCACCATGCCCTCCTTGGCCACCTTGTCGTCAATCAAGCCCTTCAGACTGCCTGCCTGTAGGTTCGCCGGCTCCAGCTCCAACAGCAATTCGTTATACCGCCGCGCCTCCGCATAGTTGCCGAGCTTGTAGTTGCCCAGGGCAAGATAGTACAGACACTCGCGGCGCCGTTCGCGACTATTGCGGAAGATTTCGGAAAGGAGGCGCACGCCTTCTTGTTGGTCGGGGCGCGAGGTGGATTTTATCAACCCCTTCAGACCATGTGTAAGTAGGTTGAGCAGAGAAGGGCTGGGGGGAGCCTGTGGATTGTGGGGTCAAGTACCCATGCGTAGTTGAATTTTGTCTGTAGTCCAACATATTCGCCTTCTTTTTCGTATTGCGCGCGCAAGACCTGAAGCTCGTCTGGCTTCAACGGCGACTCGACGTCCGCAGCATCTGTTCTACCTTAGCCTTTGCGCAACGCCTCTCGCCACTGGTTGTAGTACTTACATGGTAATGATGGCGACATGATAAGTGGGATGTGGATTCTGTATTCTCGGCAACTGCGACTGCAACAACAGCAACAATAGCAAGCTTATGCCGTAGGATATATGTATAGGGAGAGAGAGGAGAGAGACAAGATGTTGCGGCAGCGCAAGACAGCTGTTCCAGAAGTGTCTTGTGAAGGCTGCAGGCTGGACGGATCTTTTGCTTGTGACGTACCGGGGGGCCCTTGGTGGGTGGCTGACACCACTGATGATCCCAGAACAGCTTAGCTTAGGTACGACTACCGCCACACATGCATTCTCTCGTTGCCATGCACGCGACAACCCGCGCACGGACGATAAACATCCATGATCAACACCACGACTGTGACTTCGTGATAAAGCAACACCATCACCACCACATCATCACGCAGCGTACAACACACACCACCGCGAAACCCTCTCTATCCACACAAAACAAACCCCCAATTCTACGCGACAAAACCAACCGAGACAAAAAAAGAAGAAGCTCCCCCCCCCCAACCCCGCCAATCCAACCATGCTCCTCGACGAAGACCCAGCAGCCGTTCGTCCCCCTCCCAAAACACCCCGCCCTCAAGCAAAAACTAACACCAACCCCTACAGCTCATAGCCCAATGCACCTCACACTTCAAAATCGCCAACGACACCGCCTCCCTAACCCGCATCAGCGACTCCCTCTCCACCCTCTCCACCTTCCGCACCCAACACCTCTCCTCGCTGCAATCCACCCTCGCCCACCTCTCCCGCACCCACCACACCCTCGCTGCAAACCACAATCACACTCTCTCCCAACACAACCCCACCACCCACGCCGCAGAGATCCTGCGCCTCGACACCGAGAAGTTCAAGATTGCAAAGCAGGCTTCTGATTTGGAGATTGAGGGCGAGCGGCTGGCGAGCGAGTTGGCGCGTTTGGGCGGGGTGGTGGCGGAGCTGGAGGAGGAGGGGGTGGAGGGTGGGGTGGTGGGTGGTGCGAGTGAGGATGCTACTGTGTATGTAATTTTTTTTTTGGTTTTTTCTTTTTCCAGCTCGGTTCGGTTCCGTTCACTCCCTTCCCCCTCCCCCCTAAGCAACAAAACCAACTCATTCCCCCCTCAGCCTCAAACTCAAACTCTACCGCACCCTCGGCATCGACGTCGAGGCCGACCCCACAACCGGCGCCTACAACAAAGCCGTGATCCGCAATGCCGCAAAAGGCGACGTCCACGTCGTCAACATCGATCCCAAGTTCTCCCGCCACTTTTATACGAATTATTTTTGGCGCACGCTGTGATTTGCCGGAACGGGAAGAGCTTGGGGGGAAGGGCAAGAGGGATGGAGACGGTCAGGGGACAGAGGAAGGGAGAACAGTGCGGATTCCATTTTTTCTTCTTCGGGCCTCTGGGATAATGAGACATACCAGTGATGAGATGGAACATCAATACCCTTTTTACATCTCCATTCTCCAACATTCTCAACCATTTCCCATCCACTATCCACCATCACACCCGGCGTTATAGGCGAAACATGCATTCATCACACACACCAGTTCCCAATTCCCAGTTCCCAGTTCCAAATTCACAGTCCCCTGGTTATAATCTTTTGTTCTTGTAGAAACGTTTATATATCATGTTACATCTCAAATACATCACATAACATCACATCACATGACGTCTCATCATATCAATCATACCCTATCAATCACCCCCCACCCTCATCTCACTTTTCCATCTCCCCTCCAACACACCAGATCCCATCCGCACCCATTCTGAACACGGCACACATCTCTCCTCAACAACTTGGACCAAATTCAAGCATAAATCAAGCAAATATAAAGGCGAGGTTCAACCTGATTCATTTCAAGACTGAGTGGGAGGGCATGACTCTTTTCATCGACACGTCATTCTTCTCGTCAAAAGAGAAGAAGAAACGGCGTGTAGTACCGTACAGCCATTGACATCGAAGAAACTCGATACAGTACCATGGCATAACACCTCGCATCATAGCCTCGGCCCCTGAAATCACTGTTCTACCCTCTCCTTGCTACATGCCTCCTCCCAACCACCATTGTACAATGCAACATCATACACCCAGTCCATGCATATTCTCTGCTTCGAATCAAAACTCACCTTCTCACGCACATCCCACGAATGCTCCCTCGCACGGAGACAAATCTACCGCTTCGTCTTCTTCTTCGGGGCAACAACCTTGAAGTTGCCCGAATCGAGGGCCTGCTGCGGCTGGTGCTGGGCTGCACTTGCACCTGCGCCCCCCTTCTTCGCCACTTCGAGCCAGGCGCTACCTGCGGCCTTGTTCTCAGCTGGAGACGACGTGTTGCGGTCGTCGATGATGCCCTTGTCAGCGAGCTTGCGGCGGCGCAGGAATTCCTCGGCAAAGTGGCGCGAGTCGAGCGTTTCCGAGGCCGAGTGAACGGATTCGGTGAGGAGCTCAATGTCAGCCGGAAAGCTGAGGAGAGAAGACACGAACTCTTCGGCTGGTCTGTTGTTAGTTTTCATTTCTTCAGGTAGCAAATAGAAAGGGGATACGTACCATTGATGTTCTTGTTGAGATCATGGCGAAGCTCGTTGACAGCCCACTTGCGGAACTCTTCTTCTGCATTGACTTTGCCCGATGGACCTCCAATGGTGGTGCTACGTGAGACGGCCGGCTTCTTGGCAGCTGATGGCACTATGGAAGAGCTTGCGGAACGGACTGCTGTGGGTGTAGGAGTTGGGGCACCGCCAGGAGCCTTGACTTTGCCACTCGCGCCAACCGTCGTCCAGGCACTGCTTCCAGCGGGCATGTTAGAGAGCCCAGGGGCTCCCTTGCCAGCCAAATCAGCATAACGTTTGCCCGCAGATGGGGTTGGGGCGGCAGCACCCGCAGTGCTTGCAGCTGCTGCTGCTTGGGCGACGGCGCGTTGCTTACGAGCCTCTTCTTCCTTTTGGATCTGCTGGAGGGTCTTTTTTGAGTTTGGTGTGGGCTGTGGGGCGACCTTACTTGCGACGGGCTTGGTCCAGGCAGACGCACCAGGCCCCACAGGGGTGGCAGGAGAAGCACCACTGGCCCAGTTGGCAGTGGAGGGAAGACCAGGTAGGGCAGTAGAATTGTGCACCTGAGCTTGTGCCAACTCCTTCTCAAAAGCCTCACGACGAGCTGCAGCTGCAGCAGCTTCACGCTCTGCAGCCTTCTTGTATTCGGCTTCTTGTATTTCCCGGAGAGAAGGTCCTCGGGCAGGCTCTGTAGGCTCCTTGGCCCATGGAGCTACTGAAGCACTCGGAGTGTCGGCCGCAGGAGTTGCCGCGCCAGACCGAGACTCGGTATTCAGGTTCTCAGCCACGATGGGCTTTCGCTGCGCAGCAGGAGCCGGAAGAGGAGACTGAGACGGGGGTGGTGGAAATGGGAAGAGGGCTGGCTCAACCTTGTTCCAAGCTGACGCCGGTTGAGGGGTGTGCTTGGCAGAAGCTGCCTTTTGGACTTGCTCTGTGAGAGATAACGGCTCTTGACCATTCGCCGATGTATCGTGCTTGGACTCGTTATCAGCCCGGTGGTCTCCATGCTCAGATGATGCTGACTCGGCTTGCTGATTCTGCGAGCTACTAGCATGAGCAGAAGGCTTGCTGATGACGCCCTCTGGGGGTGCGACCTTGTTGTGGCCCATGTCGGTCTGCACTCTAAGATCGTTGAATTGCTGCAAGCGGTCACTAAACGCTTGGGCCTGTTGATCATCGGTCCCAAAGCGCTGTTGATTGTCGTGTTCGGCTTGTTCGCGCTGAAGGCGAGCTCGGTCGTTGAGCATATTCACTACCTGCTGCGCGTGTGTACTCGAGTCCAGCGGCTGCTGTCCAAAGTTTGGCGGCGCAGTGCCAAACCCAGGCTGACCAGTCCGTCCCATGTTCAGACGATCCATCATACCAGAAATGTCCTCTTCTCGCATGTTATTCATGGCGTCCATGCCCGGACCAATGGGGCCTAGACCTGGCACAGCACCAGGGCCGGATCGGAAGGCAGTGTCAAGCAAGCCAGGAACAGATGCTCCTGGCGCAGGAGCTTGAGTTGGAGAGGCCTGATATCCGCCGGGTGAAGTAATGCTCCCAAAACTTGGCTGACTATGGAGGCTATGGGCGCTAGAGTGGTGCTGCAGCTGATTAGGCATCATACCTCCCAGGTGTGCCTGTCGGGCAAGCGCTTGCTGTTGTGCCGCTAGGTGTTCCTTTTGCCGGGCCATGAGATATTGCTCCTCTTGCTTTCGACGCTCGAGAGCATTCTGCTGCTCGGCAGTCAGGGTCGTGCCAAAGCTGGGGAAACTGTTGGCGAAGGGTGGCTGCGTGCCAGGTGTGGGTGCTGTACCACTTGGCCCTGCTCCTGCCCAGGCATTACCTGGTTGAGCAGTAGGCGGGCCATGTGGGATGCCAATCTGAGGAACCAAAAAGGGCTCACGCGAATTACCTATTCTTCGGATGAGCTGAGCAAGTGGCTCATACTCGGGCTCCTCCTGCTTCTTGACAAGCAATTCTGGGGAGAAGAAACCGGCCTTGTACCAGTCGTGCATTTCCAGACCAGAGAAGGGACCTTGAGTCTGGCCAGCAGGATCGCGATAAATCCACCTCATCCTATCAGGCATGACCATAGTACGTTGTTGCGGCACAGGGGGCTGGCTGGACGCGGGACTACCCACACTTGAAGTGGAAGGCTGTGCTGTCCTCGTCTGGTTCAAGGTAGCCATGGAAAGTGACGTGGTAGCTAGACTTGTAGGCTGCCCTGCTCCGGATGCTTGACCGAATCCACCGCCTTGGTGATCATCAGCGGCTGCTGAAAAATCGTCGAACAAGCTACGATTCGGGCGGAAGGGGCTCTCGGTGTCGCGTGTGGGCATGCCGCCACCGTGCGCCTGAGCGGCACCGAAGGCGTTTCTGCCAAAGGTACCCGTCATACTCTGCTGCCTATCACCATGTGATGCATTATCATCAAGATGGTTTCGGTTTGGATCATTCTGCATAGAAGCTGGGAAGAGCGAGCCCAATCTGCTTGAACGACCCACGTTACCGTGCGCGGCTCCGAACAACGAGCTACTACCCAGACCAGCAAGAGAAGGCGACTGTGCTTCGACAACATTTCCAAAGCCATGCTCGAATGCTCCTAGAGCACGTTCCCGAATGGGTGTGCCCAGAGATTGTTGCCCTGTTGGCCAGGCTGCAGATCCTCCTAGGCCGGGAAGGCCACCCAGTCCCGGCAGGGTAGGGAAGCCTCTTGCTGGACCAACGCTTGAAGTTTGACTGCGATCGCTCGCGGCAGCTTCAAATGGCCCTGCACCCACTCTTCCCAGTCCGCCAAGGCCACCAAACGCGTTGTGAACACCAGGGTGGGAATGGTCGACCTGGAAGCTACCCATGCCAGGATAATGGTTATGCTGAATGTCCGAGTCCTCGGAATCATCATCGTGTTCCTCTCGTGCATGGTCCGGACTCTGATACGGGTTCGTATCTGTCGGACTCATCGGCTCATGAGAACCACTGCCAGCTCCACGGCTGGGGGTATCATGTGCGGCAGTCATACCGAAAGCGGAAAATCCCGATTCGTCCCTGGGGTCGGGTCGGTGAGGTGTACCAAAGGCATTCAAGCCCTGCGGTCGCCGCGGGCTTACGTCTTCACCCAGTAGAGCAGCACTACCTGTGGGTACATTGTCATCTGGAAACGGATCCGTGTCGTTACTCATGGGTCGATTGGAGCGGGCCTCCAT